AATTCTACGAGTAGATAGACCAAAATTTCCCTTTAATTTTTGAATACCATCAATTTTTTTCTCCTTACCCCACCAATGAGATTATTTTTTACAAAAAGTAAAATATTTTGTAACAGAATCTACAAATTTCATAATTTGTCATTTATTTTCTATAGTGGACATGCAGTAAGCTAAATCTTGCTCTACTGGGTGTCTAATGGACTTAAGTGTGTTCACTCCGCCTTTAATCCGCCTTAAAAAAATGCCCCGTGAACCCGGGTGGACAGAGTTCAAATTTAGTTTTTTTTTTTTATACAATTGGTATAATATTGTGTCGTGTGTTTTATAGACACGCGTGGGGCCTATAATAATAATAATTGTGACGGCATCGACCGGATGGATTGAATTTGTCGCCAAGGTCAAAATATCGAGAAATAAAACATTACCCTCAGGGCATTTCAATTTTAAAATATAATATTTCAATAAAGTACACCGATATATTATGCGTAAAAATAATAATTATATATATTGTACAGTCATATTAGGTATGGATTTTGTACGTTTACCACGCTAATATTTTGTAATATCATTGCATCGTAACTTGACGGAAATGTATATCTTTCAAGATTAAATTACTAAATAAATACTTATAGTTGTTGTATTTTTAGATATGGGGGGATATAACCCTTAATTTCCTTCTTCACGCGATATAGCAAATTTTAGTTCAGAAGACCGATTTTGTGCTACTAGTTTTAATATCAAAGTGAAAATTGACCTATTATTATATACGAAACATTATCAGCTGTGTAATTATGTCGATTATTTTCGATACTTATTTAAATTTTTAAGTGAGATATATGAGTGTAATAAATATCATTGTTAAACAATGTTTATAAGTTGTGTACCTATTGCATTTAAAAATAAAAATATCGAAAAAACCGACATAGTTGCATAGATAATGTTCTTACCTTGATGTTTTAGTAAGATGACACGAAATCGGTCCAGTTGAACGCTAATTATCTATCATGCACTATGACATACTCATAACCTGTTTTATTTTAAGTATTTATTTTTTTAACTCAGTTCATAATTACTTGATCAAATTACGATGAAAATAATATTACCAATTCAAAATTTTAATTTGTATAAAATATTTAAATCTCGTAATCTCTTTTATGTAGTTTTTAATACTTTACTTTATAATTATAAGTTATATGAATAAATGTTATAGTAGTATAATTGAATTAAACTGAAGATTCATTCGGATTGTGTCATTATCATAATATAATAACAAATTAAAACTGTTCCAAATTGCTACATAATAGATTTATTATTTATTTATTTATTTATTTATTACCTACCTACTAAAGGCCGGATATATTAATTGTGGCCGTTGAATTTTGATTTCGTCTGACCATTATTTGCGAAGTTTGGCGCCACTGTGCGAAATATGATGTCCGTCAGTTTTTTAATAGTGTCAACATAGACGAAAATAGCCCAAATATGTTGGGAGACTTAGACCCCCTATAATATTTATAATGTATATTTTGTATTTGGCTAATGCTTATTAGTTATAACTAGGTGGCTAGGGCCAACAATTGTATGCATTTGAATATTTTTATTGGTTGGTCAAAAAAATAGCTAGTTAACATCAAAATGTGTTTCATGACCTAACGAGCTTATATAATATATACACATTTTTATTTTTGCATATTTTCGCAGTTTAGAATTTATAGGGCAAGAATTTTTAATTTGTGCGCTTTTAGGGCATATTTCAAAATACGTTTTTATGGGTTATTTGATTTATTAATACATCGAAACGATTGGATAAAAATGACTTCTATTTACATGTATTTTGTCGTACTTATGTATGCTTAATTTTATTTGACTCGTGGTTTATACTCACGTAGTGTGTTAAATCGGTCGATTTATTTTTTCTTTAAGACATGTTTTTATATAATTTGTATAGCATAAATGCATACATATTTAATAGGTTTGTAGGGCATATTTCTGTTGATCCTAGTTATTACTTTATTACTAAACAAAATTATTACTCAATATTCGTCCAGACATTAATTCGTTTTTATAATATAAGTTTTCAATAATGATCAATAATGCTTGCATGTAATACATATATTTTAAAACTCAAATAGTTTGATAGTATTTTATTGTTGGATCTTATCTACAAATTCAACAAAAAATGTACGAGAATAAAGTGCTTTTTTTATTTTAAATTTTGTTTATTTTTTTTAATTCATTTCAAAATGTTCGCAGAGATTTTACATTGTTCAAAAAACTTATATTTACCTTTTCTAGACGAGGTAAAATTTTAAAATTGTTTTAGCCATTTTTGAGCTACTTATAGACATTTACATTTTGCACGTGTTTTACGTAATTTTTATTCGATAGGTACTTTGTGAATAAAATGATTAGACTAAACAGAATTGCTTGATAATTTAACAAAAGGTTCATTATAAGTCGTAATTAGTGGTCAAAAAGAAAAAATTGAGTTTAATGTAGTATTATTTTTTTTATAAGAATTTTTATATCGAATTTTGACGAAAATCATAAATATTTACGGCCTTTGAAAATATGTGTAACCAAACTCCGCTCAGGATCGTTTTTCTTTAGCAAAGAGAGAACGTTACGTATAGATGTTCATTGAATTTCCCTCTATAATTATTAATTCTATCTTTCCAACTTCTCACCTACAAGACTGCTACAACAGTGGCTCACCATCCGTGCGAAGTATGTCCGTCTTTAATTTTTTTGTTTTGGTGTTTTATAGGTTTGCTTATATTAAATCGATTTATACAAATAGTTCATCTACTTCTGACGACGTTTTTAGTATATTAAACACAGTGTGTACTCTTCTTAAATTCATAATTCATTAGGTATTATTTGTTTCACTTGCAAAATAGATTTTATCGTTGTTAATCTTCTTTTAATAAACAGGTAAAATAAAGTATCAAAAAGTGAAAATGTGTAAATGCAAATATTTGTTTAAATTCCATACGTGTTTATAATTTGTACATTGTGATTATAATTATCACATTGAGACACTGTTGTTATCGCATTAATCATCAACGCAATTTAAATAATATTTTGATATCAATAAACAAATTTTCAAATAGTTCCGTTATTTAGTTGAACTATGAAAGCACGAATTTAAGTATAACAAAATAATTAATTGAAAAATAATTTAAAACCGAATTCAGATTTAATGGTTGTTTCTCTAGCTTTTATTAAAAAAAAAAAAAAAAATACATCTCGATTACTACTATATTGTGCTGATGGTTAATTCGATATTTAATAATAGTTCGGTTATTAATTGCATTCGACTTAAAGTTATAAGTCATAAATATTGTTAGTACAAATATTATTAGTAAAATTATTAGGTAGTTAGTTAATTTTTTTATTTTAACTAATTGGTTCGTGTAATCTTTTCAGTAGCGTGTCAATAATTTTCAATAGAAGGAGATGTAGTATTATCTTGATTCATTAATAAAACCTTGATTATTTTGTGTGGAGAAAGGGGAGAAAAAACTATTTATAACCATGAAAATGAAGAGAAAAGTAAGAAAAAATAAATGAGTAAATGACTCTATTGCCCCTCTTGGATGCGTTACTGATGGAGGGTGCAATTGCTAGTACATCTGCGCACACTAATGAATAGCTTACTAGGCAAAAATGATAAAATTGTACAAAATGTCAAAATATTACTCTGTAGTTTTAAATTAAATTATTTTGGGTAACAAATTAATTATTATATTAATCGTTAAGTACTCATTTGGTTTTAATTGGTAAAGCGGTAAATAGTGATTGAATTATATTTGAATAGTATAATATTATATTAAAATTAAAACTTAATCGGGATATTAGGATGATAATAATAATATGAGGTGTGTATTATAATATTATATTGTATACGAAGCAATAATGGTTTATTATAATATTATTATTATATAGATTAGGAATTATTTAAACATATTTTATAATAAGTGCACGTGATTATGATGAATTGTAATGATACATTATTATTTTATATTGTGTTTTTAATTTTGATAAAAAATAAACGCTTAAATATTAATAGTTAATAATATAATACAATGTATATAATTTTACGCTGAAACGTGTCGGACGAATTATTATTTTTGTTGTCCAGAAACATTAACGATGTTAATAAAAATTCAATACAATTATTATTATTGATTGACAATAATAATTTTTGAATACTGTGTTCTAATATTGTGATAGCAGCCCAACGTGTATTTTACATATTTTATTATTTTTTCTGTCCAAACCGGCTATTAATAATTGATGATAAATTCAAATAAAAATTTTATTTTGTTTTATATTTCTAGAAAACGTCTTACTGTTTTATTACTGTTGATAAATGTACCTGTAAATTTAATTATTATAAAAGATAACGCGGATGATTAGCTGTGGGTCAATATGTTATCAGTTTTGTTAACACACGGTCGGTGTGCGTGCGACCGTGTGTTGGAATAAATTACACCACACCAGTGTATTATGAAATAACAAAAATCGTGTTTTTCGTTATTTTCAAATTCACTGTGTTTACACATTTGAAATTATGCGGGATAAATATTATTAGATATTTTTAATTTTTTCACTTAGCATTTTTTTTCTTTCTTTAGTTTTTTTTTTTGTCGTTCCCTCGTGGCCGTCGGTACCTATATTATGTGTAACACTACGCTATCGGCCGCAGATTTTCAGAGGGGGATAGTAGGAAGAGGATGAGGAGGAGAGAGAGGGGATAAGTGCGGTCGGTTGAACTTCGTGTGTAAAAATATTGTGTAAGTATAATAATAGTAAACGAGATGGCATAGGTAGCTGGTATTGTGTGTGCTATCTCCATTTTACGAATTTACGGAATCCCGATAAGAGGTTCGAGACCGGGAAAATCGAAAAGGAGAGAAAAATAATAATACGTATAATTGTACGTAAATAATATAATATTTAATAATAATATGTAATCGAAATATTTTTAATCGAAAAAATAGTGGGGAACATTGGGCCCGCCGGTCGCGATACGCACGTCGGAGACGCAGACGTCCACAGTGCGACGTTCTCGGTTGTCTGGACACTTACGGCTACTCGCCGCGCGTATAAACCCATAACGCCGCCGTCTCTCTCCGTTCCGCCGCCGATTATAAATTGTATTATTACAATTTTCGTCTTAATATCCGTCGTTTTATTATTTTTCTCATTCAGTGGACACACGGTGCACGTACCGTACGGACGTGTTTATCAGCGGACGCCGCTTGCTCGTATCCGCGTGATCGCCGTCGCAGACCATTGGACCGCGGCCGATGATTATTTTTGACGATAGTAATAATATTGTTATTTTTTTATTATTACATAGACACCGATATGTCGGTTCGATAACACCGAAATACTTAATAAGTAACTAATACCTAATATTATTAATTAAATACCTAATCGCGTATTTTCGACAAATCGGAATGAAGTTTTACGCGTTCGGCCGGAATATAATATTATTATTATATACCTAGGTACCTGATAATATTATTATTGATCGTTATTATTTTTTTTTTTTGTACCTACTCCGCGTAAAGTTTGCCTTTTGTATTTCTCGTCGTCTACGTACCGAGTAAATTGCCGGTAGCGAAATCGTCCGCTGCTATCGCGTTATTCCAGTGTGCGATAATATTATTAATATTATTATAATTATTGTTGTTCGATTTTGTTTATTCGGAGTTAGTACGTCTACTGTTATACAATCAGTAGTAGCCCGTGTTGTACTGCACTCGGACGCGCGCGTTTTCTTGCTGTCGTTTGTGCGTGCGTGCACGCCGGCGGTTTGTGTGGTGCGTATTCCCGTGGCCCGTCAGCTGCGCCCGTGTTTGTTGTGCGCGCGCGCACGCTTGTGTGCCGCCGAAGTCTTCGATAGTGTACCTGGTAAGTAATCCGGGGAAAAAACAAATATAAAAAAAAAAAACAAAATAATTTAACGAAAATAATAAAGTAAATAGAGTACGATTGTAATAATAACGACGGTAATAACATAGCGCCGAACGAGTCGAATCGTGGTGGTGTCGGGTCGGACGATGCGTTTTATTTTTTTCCGAGGGGATTGGACCGCGACCGTGTGTTTCTCTCGTGCACACGCGGTGTACAACAACAACAAAAATAATAAAGCCGGCGGCGGCGGCTGCTCGTACTTCGAACGTGTAGTGCAACCGTTGCTGCTTCTGCCGCGGCTGTTGCAGTAGCAGCAGACGAGCCGACGTCGTCGACGCGGTCGCGGTCCAAGGACAAATTTCTGTACACAGCCGCGTTCAAGGACGGAAAAATTCAAGGTCGTGTTTTCTCCCCGTATAAAACTACGCACCACACAACGCGATACTTACGCTCCCTTCCATCCGACGGCATAACAATAATAATATCGTGCCTCGCAAAACACAATGCTCGTGTCGTCCCTTTATTTTTCTCCCCTTCTCTCTATTCCTCTCTCTCTCTTTTTTTCTCTCTCTCTCTCTCTCTCATCCCTCTCTCTGAAGTAATGTTCAGGCTTTTTTTTCACCAATATTTTCATCATCCGTCGTCGTTCTCCCCGCCAACAAGAGATACCTCTATTATACTTAATACCGTTGTAATATTACCGGACCGTCCCGAAATTCGTAAGACAATAATAATGTTGGAATTATTACCGTTTATGTATACCTACGTTCGTGTGATCCCGTTCATTTCTTTTTAACGAGAGACCGCCAGACGACGACCAGATAACGGAATTTCACGTGGTTGTTGGTGTTCAATTAAACGCAATCATATTATGGTAACAGCGTAACGTTTATAATTTTATTAATATAATAGTACGTCGCCGCCGTGTGTGCGCCAAACGTTTTATTATTGTTATTCCTCCCCCCTCCCCCCGAGAGTCGTCAAACGTATAGTATTAGTTTTATTATAATATTATTTCGATTGAATTTTTCCGATTGTTTTGGTTCTTTTTAAAAAATATGTTTTTTTATTTCATCATAAGTATTATAACATGGAGATTTATTATTATTAGATTCTAAACGTAATGAATCTCGAGGAATTTATTGGATCAACTGTGATATTGTGTGCTTTTTATTTTTTTCCGCCTGCAAACGACTGTTCTACCAGAAATCAAAAAATTACAAGAAAGGTTTTTGTATGTGGCATTTTGGATTTATTTGATGCATAGGGAGGTCATTTTTTGATTTTTCCAAGTAGTTTTCATAATAATTTAGGAAAACCGAAAAATACGTACTTACAGGAAAGATTTACAAATTCACGACAATAAAGTTTCATTATTTTCGATTTTTTGTTTATATTGTAATTTCTAATTTGATTAAAAATAAATGTAAACCTGAATTGAATTTTCACAAAAAACTAATATCAGTATATTAGTATTTTGTGACCTTATCTAGACGTGGTTTTTAAAACTTTTTGCCGATTTTTAGTTATTTATAGGCATTTGAAATTTTTTTAAATTTGTATTATTTCTACTTGATTATATGTGGATAAAATGTTTTGGCCGAGAAGGAATTTATATTTTATTGATTTTCATTAGTTATTGGTATTCGATGGTAAAAACAAGAACCAGTTGACCCCATAGGCACAAATAACCCAAATATTTTTTGAGAGGATGACTTAACATCCCGTAATATTGATTATGTATACTTAGTATTTACTCGACAAGGCATTGGTTGGAGGCGGGGGGGGGCTAAGCCCCTCATACCTATCTGTACCTATTGATGAATTTAATGTAGTAATTTTGTTTTCTAAGAATTTAAGTTACGGGATTTTATAACATGTTGAGCCGAACTTCTGCTCAGAATCATCAACATTGATTTATCGTTGTGTACCTATTATGTGAATTCAATTACTGTATGTATTCTATTTTCCCTACTTCCTAAATTAGTCAATTTCGATAAAAATAGTAAGAATTTATCTCTTGGAATACGGTTTGGGTACTATACCTGTACAATTTTTAAAATAGATATTATTTTTGTGTATTTCTATAATGTCGTTGATATATTAATATTTTAATGATAATATTATTGATATAATTTTGTCTTTTGGTTTATAATTGTATAATAATATCGCAGTAGGTACACGTGGGGCGAACGGAATAGTTTAAAAACGGGCGCATTGTTTGATAAAATTTTATTTCAGACAGAAACCGACCGCGGCGGTTATTTGGTTACTTACAATAATTATTATTATCGGAGTCAGGCTTATCGTGGAAACTATTGTATTTTCGGTTTTTCTTGAAATATAAATTATACTTATCAATTTTTAATAATTATTACAACAGACGGGTATTCCGTAAAGTTCTAAATGTTATATTTCGTAGATAGATCTCGGGTTTCCATTCTGAGAGACACTCGGGTTTTTCCATATACGGTAATAAAAATATTATTATTATAATATCGAGGCCGTAATGTATTATATTGTATGATATATTATATTACGATAACGCGATTGTATTATGAAGATAAACGCGCGGGTAGGGATATCTAATAGTAATAAATTGATGTATATTATGTTATTTCCAGAGGACGTGATACCCACATGCCCCATGTGTTGTCGACATAACAAGTTCAGCAGGGACGTCATTGCGCTGTTGGTTTCAATATTTGAGTGAATCGATATAATATTATTAAATTTACAGATAAGAACGCTATCTGTTCAACATCTGCGTTATTTTTTTCGATATTTTACTTTTAAAGCGAGATATAATGCAATATAATCAAAATATTACAGTTTAATAACACGTCTTGTATCTAGCTTGAAAAGTAAAATGTCTAAACAATAACGTCAATCTTACGTACGCAATGTTTCGTTCTTAAAGTTTGATAACTGATCAATTCTCTAATATTGCCCAAACCAACAGCACAAAGTTGTTCCTACCGAATGCAATATTGTGCTATGTCGCACGTTTCCAAGACGCAGACAGCACATGCGGGTATACGTCCTATTGAATTAAATTTATTATTATTATTATTTTAAAATGTGCGCGCTATTATTGTTCTGATAGTAGCGACGGGACAGATGTGATGGGATGGTGAGAGGGGGGGGGGATATAAAAACCAAGATAATATTATTTACAACGCAATATCCGCCGCCGCGTTCCTTCGGGCGTTTGAAATTCGACACCCTCAAAATATCATAATAATAATATGTTTCACGTGTGCGTTGTGTTGTTGTTGTTATGAGAAGGTGTGTTGGTTTATTTTTATTTTTGTGTGTGTTCACATACAATGGGCCGCACGGTCCCAAAAACCGCGTCGTTGCAACCTACCTCACTACTATAGTAACGCGTAACACGAGAAAAAAAAATATAATAATAATACCGAACAATAATATTATTATAAAATATATTATGCTACTACGCGTTTTCCAGAGAAACCGGCTTAGGTCTCGTGTGTTGTGTTGTTGTTGTCGTCGTTGTTGAGTGCACCCGGTATGAAAAAAAAGTGAAGACAAAAAAAAAAAAAAACACTTCATCCATGTGTCGGTTGCCGCGCGTCGTAAATCGGTCGCGTAATAACATACAGAGTGCTTCTAGAAATGAATGAAACGAATATGAATGAATAATCGGAACGACAGACGATAATATTTTGAAATTTCTTTTCCTTCTCCGTTTTTAACACTAGCAAACGATATTTCACGCGAAATGTATGCTCGTACGAATAACGCGACGTATCATCGCATCGCTTTTAGTTTCCGAACGTAGTGAGAAATGTGTTGGTTTTACTACACGCATTTTATTTATTTTTCATGTCAATAATTTTTCTATCGGAAATCTTGCTTCGATTGTCAAATTTCGTCTAGTCCGTCGTGGAAGTCATTATTCGGTTTTCCTTGTAGTTTTTTTTTTTAGTACACTGGAATAACCAGATAAAATACGTAGGAATATACCTTTTTCTTTCATTTTCAAATAAAACTCGAAAACGCTCGGAAAAGTGTAAAAACTAATGTCACACGTCGAGATTCGTATGAAAATCTCGAGAAAAATGTCGTTCGAGTATTTATTTTTGCATAATATATAATAACATTCAAGTAAGCACATTTACTATTTATAGTTTAATCGTGCAGTTCAAAAACACCGTATTTTTTACGGTTTGATTTTTTTTTATTGTCTTCATAATAGAATAACGCACACGATTCGTTTTTCGTATAGGCACCTCGTGTATCCTGATTATCGTTTTAGTTTGAAAAAAAAAATGAACGAAAAATGATTAGGTATTCGTTTTACATTAATTCACACACATTAACACAATCGTGGGGGGGAGGATATCGATTTTCGATTATCTCGTTATTTCGTCGTTTTCTGTTCAAGAGCACAAACGTGGTAGATTTATTAAAAAATATACAAAATTAATCCTCAAAATATCATTAGGTAGTTTTATTAAACCGAATGTGCAATATTATATTCATTATTAAATATAAAACCGTGATCTATCCGTTCGTTCGTAACGCTTTGCTGATTTACCATGGCGACCAAATATAAAATTCATTATAATCTATCTTATGTATGACTTTAAATGTTTATTGAATATTGACAAACTGAAATTCGCTTTAAAAGTTCCTATACTTCGTATATAAAAATTAATAGTAATTTGTTCCTCCGTTCTTCTAAATAGAAATTCGATTCAACGAATTTATTTCTTCAAAAACTAAAAAATAATAACATATCTTTGCTCATAAGGAAGAATAAAGACTTTAGTTAATTTTTGGATTTTTTTTATAATTTTGTCCCTTTATTTTTAGTATAAATTGCTTAGGTATATACACGACCGGATTAATCTCAATTATAGTACTAGGCATATATTCCCATATATTCTGTTGTTAAGTCGTCTAAAATATAAAACCTATATCATAACTAATACTATAGCCGTAAAATTATTTGATAACTTATGAGTGATTTAAAATTCAAAATTCAAAACTATTATGTTACTTAATCCATTTCAATATGCATAATTTCGGGACGTTATTGTGTATTACAAGAAATAAAATAGCCCCTGTTATTGCCTCGCCCCAAGCACGCGTCTACCTCGCCTATACGTTAATCCGGGCCTGAGTGTATATATTTTCAAAATTAAATTCGCTTGTATTGAAAACTAAACCAAATTGACTCAAACCTTTCCTTGTCGCTGGACTAAATATAAGAACTTTACTGTGGACCCTCTAAATATTAAAGTCCATATAATATCTTGTAATAATAGTATTATTAAAGTAATGTTTATATTTTATCATAATATAAAATCACATCCGCTTTAATAATAATTATTACCCCATGGTGTTTTGTTGATATATAATGTGCGGTTCGTTGTAGTGTTTTTTGTTGTTTTTTTTGTCAGTTTATTACTGATGGTTTTCAACCGATACGCACGTAAAACGACCACAGGACCGATAAAAATGTTTCATCACACAACAGGTGTCAGAGCATCTCGTATTTGTATATTATAATGTACGAGTCTGTGCGTTTATGCTATTTATATTGTTCTATTCGTGTAGTTGGTATAGATAACTAGATAGGCCTCATTGCGAGGAACATAAGGATTATTGTTCCTATCCGGCTGTATTGTTTTCGGCTTATGTCAAACGGCTTAAAAATTTCATTGTTTACTATTATATATGTATATTTTTTAAAATGTTCGTTCCGGTAAAAAACAATTAGAATTTAAAAAAAAAATTAAAATTTTTAACTATAAGTATCTAAAGATTTAAGTATAATACTATTGATTTATAAAATTGATAATATAATAAAGTCAACGGTAAAATGTACCTTGTATGAGGACCGAATATTTTATATTCTTAGCGGAACGAGGAATGTATTGCAGGTTTTACAATGATGTTTATTTTTTTTTTTCTGTGGACAAATTTTCTATCATCAATTTTGGTTCGATATACAATGAGAAAACTTTCTGAAAGGATATCTGACTGGGGTGATATTTTAGGGAGGTCAATTTTTTTTGTTTTCCCGTGAGTTTTCTCAATAAATAGGAAAAAACGCAGAAAAAATGGGAAAATAGGTACAATATTAAACAAGTATTATTAAATAAAATGTTATATAATGTATAATATGTAATTATATTACCATAATATGAAATATATATATTGTTAACAAAGAAACTCTATCAACCGAACTCTGCTCAGAATCGTTTTTTCATTAGAAACGGTTAATTATTACAAACAGATATGAAAAAAATCCCTTCTATATACCCTTACTTCTCAACTTATCACCTACAACAGTGGCCCACCTATGTGTGAAGTATGTCCGTACTTTGTTCATTTGTTGTTATACGCACAAAACAGATAGGGAAAAAAACGTTAATAACAACAAATTTTACAAATATTTGATTTTAAATACACTTGTTATTATCGTGTAAACCAAAATAAAAAACTACTATCATATTATATATGATAATATTATAAATAATATTAGGTATATATATATATATATTAGGGTGGTCCTTATTTTTGAACTTTCAATTTTTGAATTTATCACCCTCCCATATTTTCCGTTATCATAAAAAACTAAGTTTTGTTAAATTTGGTGTTAGGAACTCACCCCTTTCACGAGCCGCAAGAGGGTTGAAAATTGTTAAATGGTGTAGTTTTAAAGTTTTTTGTACTTAATTCAAAAAATATTATACTTAGCTTAAAAATTTGTAGAATCTGATTTAAAGATCTAAGCATTTTCTACAAAAAATATTCTTACAATATTTCTTCTAAATCTAATATTTTTCAAGAAAAATAATATAATATTAATTTGTTTTCAAATTTGTATTTTGCTATTTTTTAAATATATCTGGTAAATGAGCAATGTTATAACATAACATAAAAAGATAAAATAAAATAAAATTATACCAGATTACATAACATATTTTTGAATATTAATAACAAATAATTTCAAATATATAAAAAGTATGCACGGTTCAAATTATATTTAAATAAAAATTCTTTAACTTATATGTATTAATTAATGTCTCCTTTCTACAATCCGGATAATTTGTTTTGTAATCATTTACAACTTGTAACAAAAATTGTTTTTGTTTTTCGTCCTTCGTTAGTATACTATTGTACTCTTGAATTAACTTGACGTCTCTATCTGTAACATCATTTATGACAAATAAGTTTGTTAAAATACTAATTCCTTTTTGAAAGTCTTCTTTGTGATTCCAATTATCTGGGTAAAAATTTAGGAAATCAAAAGGAAATTTTAAGTCTTGAAAAAAATTCATTATTTCTAGTGACACAAATTCATACAGTTCTTTCTTTAAAAATGTTTCTATATCCTCACTACGCAATATAAATTGTTTATTATTCGTCTCATCAATATCAATACTAGGCGTTTATTTAATTACTTCTACCGTTATAATTTTAATTAAAGTTGACACACGAGAATCAAAAAATAACAATTCAATATTTTCAGGCTCGAGGTACCTTAAATGACAACAAAAATTATGTACAGCTTCCTTAGAAATTATAGTATCTGGGTATTTTATCAATTTCTTTAAAAATATAAAATCGTTGAATAGGGAATCAATTGAAACAGGATATTCAAACCACGCTTCTACGTATACTTTCACTTAAAAAATACTTATATCTTGAAATGTATTTTATTCTCGAACATAAGTTTAAACTGTTCTCGGAACATATATATTTTTAAACAGTATATCGCTTTCGATGTCCACCTTACATGATGATAAGCACCAGGATAATGAAAGGATATACCATTTGGTAGTTTCGCACCCAGAAATATAATAGTCAACTCTAATAGTTCTTAATAATCATCTCTATATTGTTTTTTTTTCAAATTGTGAAAACTGTAATTTATAATTTCAGATCTATTTCTTTCAACAGTAGATTTTAACTATGTCATCTATTCCTATTTTAAACTGTGTTAAATCAATTTGGGGCCATGCATGTTGAAATTTTTTAAAAATAGGAACATCTGGACCAGTTGTATTTAATTTTAATTTTACTTCGAATACATTTCTGAACACTTCTTAAATTTAGGTATTGGATATTTTGTGCGATTGCGTAAAAAATTCTAGTATAATAAGTATTTATTAATATCTAATTTCTTAATATTTAATAGAATCAAGTTTTATTTAACATTAATTAATCTGATGATAACATAATCATTATTATTATTATTTAATTGTAATAGGTAATTTTTTTTTATTATTAACGAGGTCATTAGTATTTAGTACTGTCTACCTACATACCTGATGTAATACATAATACTAAAATATCTATTATCAGATTTATTATTATTTCTCATTATTAAATATCGAGTTAAATACCATTAGTTGGGTATATTGTAAATTAACTTAGACATTAGGTTCGTTTATACAAAGATACGAAATATTACCGCAAAAAATAAATAACCAAAATTATCATTTTTTCTAACTAAACAAAATCTTTAAAATTCTATTGAATCCGTAGGTTTTATTGTAGATATATACGAATTTGGAAGAGTTTTGGAAATTCTGCAAATCAACATGTAACCCCACCTATATAAATAGGTATGTGATTTTGACAAAAAAAAACAAACTTAAGATTATGTTTTCAAAAATGAGACCCTGTTCTTTTTGTTATTTGTTGAAACAATGATTGAAGTGGTAAAACATCAAAGACTATATTTATTTAAGAAATCCATCACGGAGATAAAATTTCCAAAATATTTTTCTCCCGTACACATTTGTTTATGAAAAATATGCTAATTGGGTTTAAAAATAAACTGCACTTCCCAACCAACAAAAAAAACTTTACATAATATATCACTGTTCAGTTAAAATAGAATATACATTTATATGTATAATCTAATAACTAGGTATTGAAACATTTCGTTTTAATAGAACTAATTCAAGTTTTTAAAACGCCATTTAAAATACCTCAGTGACAATAAGTCGTCCCCTCATTTTAACCACTGGACTCAAGATAATTATAACGTTTACCTTTATCATTGAGTAAATCTTTATCAGGTTTTAATTACTATCTATAAATTTAAATGTTTTATAGTTAAAGGTATGTAAATAAGATTAACATAACACAACACTCGAGATAATGATGATCATTACTTATCTAGGAAAGAGTTAACTTTTATCGGAATTTTTGTTGTTTTGTTATTCATAAAGCAGACAGCTCTGAAATGTTTTTAACGTTATTTTTTATCATCCTTATTTTTGGGGGTGAAGTCACTATATACTTTTGATTTTAGTTTAAATACATTTTGTTAAAATGAAATTAAACTAAAAAATCATTTAGATATTTATTGCACTTGTAGGTTGCTATTTATAAAAGGTGAGTACTGATAGTGGTTAATACTTTCCGTTATAATTAGAGTCTTATCGCGGATTGATCACTGTATTATGTAATATACATTGCGTAATCTATAATTATTAATCTTGTTCATTAATTATTATTTATTAGGTACATATAACGAGATAGGTACTACCTATAATAATATTGTATTAACGCTTTTAATAACAAGATTGTACAAAACATAATAGTATCATTTAAATTAAATTAAAATTATTTATGTCTCATGATTTATATGAATCGATTGATATGGCCGATGGGCCATAGGTTAGCATTTCATTTGGTACCTAGCCAATTGTAAGCAACCAAGACATTGATCGCATTTGAGTACTAATGTATAATTATTAATAACTCAAAGATACTGTGTCGAATACATTTTCAGGAACTTTGTAATGCTTGCAAGCATACTCAATAATATTGTGTTAATTTATTAAATTAACACATCTTAATCCTTAATGATTTCAAAACTGTCCGTTCAAAAAAAAAATAAAAAAATCATTAATATTAATAATATATTATATATAATATAATATAATAAAATTATTCTCAAATAGAAATAAAATATTATTTTAAAGATCAATCCAAACAATTGGTGCTGAATTAGGAATTTTACCAAATTATAAATGTTTGTTAAATTTAATTAGTTGATTTTAGGCTTCAGTTATTAGATTTAGAAAATTTAAAAACATTTAGTATACCTACCTACCTACCTTTTTTTCTGGAACTGCAATCAATATGGTGCTTACTACATTGTATGATTTTGAAAGATGGCGCACAATATAAAATAACAAAAATGTAAAAAGAAAGATTATGATGAAAATAGTTATAAAATACAATTAATGAGAGGAGGGGAACTTTGTCTCTATGGGCGTATTCTGGTTATCGGTTGGAGGTACATTCGTTTAAATTAAAGTTACTCTTCTCATAATATTTGTTCATCAGTCTTTTTGAATGAGAAAACTATACTACAATATATTATCTTTATTAAAATTGTGTATCATTTACATTACTTAGAATCTCTAGTCATCAAGAATTGTCGTCATGTTAATATAAAATTCAGAGAAAAAACATGAGATATTAAAAAGAAAAATGTAGCGATATAAAAAATTGAACTTCTATATTCATGGTAAAAACAGTGTTGAACGGTTCAAATACCGAATATATTAACTTCAACCAAATACAGAATAATGTTTTATTAATAATAATTCAAGTTGAGGTAATAGAACTAAAATTACAATAATAGTCAAATTAAACGGTTGTTAATTTAATAAAAATAGCCGTCTCTTTACTACACCTATTACATATTATATAAATTAACAATTCTATCAAAAAATATAATATCTTTTATCGATTTGGGCACTTTACCGGTCTGATTGTGTACATTTCTATATTATTCTAAACTACAATTTAAATATCAACAATCGGCAAAAATGAAAAATAGGAGTTCCAGACCAACCTTCGGGTTGAAAAAAATATATGTAAACATAAATAATATAGTTTCATATGTATACTTAAATTTCGGTTTAACTCGTGCATCTACTATTTATTATCTATGAACCTTACAAGAACTATGGATATTATTATATGATACACTTATTTTTAAAAACTATGAGTGAATTACATTTAGTTTAAACGTTTATTTGAATATGAACGCAGACCAGTTTTAAATATTTTTAAAAATGTTAAGTTTTTGATAAATTAATAATAATGTACCTACTGGTGTTATTATAACATCAATTCAATTATTTTAATTTAATAGAAAAAAAGAGCTGATACTGGGAACGGGTGTGCCACTGTTATAATTTGAAAGTTTAAAAAATAGAATACATAAAAGTTATTTATTATATTTATTATATTTATTATTTATATCTGTAATTAACGATAAACCATCGATAAAACCTAAAGTCCGTAATATTTTCAATTTTCGTCAAAAATTGATTTTAAAACTTTTATATCAAATACGATATTGTACTACATTGCACTCAATTTTTTTTTTTACCATTTAGTATGACTTATAATGAACTTCCTGTCAGACCTTTATCTAGTCTAACAATTTTATCCTCAGAGTACGTAACAAATAATAATTACGTAAAAAACTGGCATAATTAAAATCTCTATAAATAGCTCAAAAATGCTCAAATATTTTTAACATTTTACCACATATAGAAAAGGCAACCTTAAGTCTTTTGTCAAAATGTCAACTCTCAATTTTGGGAATTGTTATGAATTACCTGATTGCCCGAACAATTACCTTAAAGTGTAAAAACCGTAGCTCACAGACACGGAAAAATATACAAAAATACAAAAACATACATCATAGTAAAACCAAAAAAAAATAAACCTAAAAAAATATGTACCAACGTAAAGATAACGTTTAGGTATAGTTATATCTAAATATTTAGCTAAGTATTGAAAATACATATAATGTTAGATAAAAAAAAATACCCGTGTGCTCCTAGAGCTTCTAGAGTCACTTGAATTTAATTTTCTTCCCATTTATTTTTTTATAGTAGAAATATATTTTGCTAAACAATAAATAACCGTGTGTATATTTTAATAAAATAATACTTGTATACTATATAATACTATACAACTATAATAGTTTCAAAAAAAAAAAAAATATGTGAAATTTGATTATAAAAATTTTTATGAATGTTGGGTTAGGATTGAAAGTTAAACTCTCAAACTACATGTTCTTAAATATTAACGTAATACACACACACACATATATATATATATATATATAAATAATATAAATATATATATATACACAATATATAGTAGTAATTTGTCTTTGATTTATAATAATTAATATATTTATTTATAAACGCCCGATGGACACAGTGTATATTATGCTTAAAATTATTTTAGTAAAAACTGTAGAGATGTATAACAAAGAGTTGCAAAAATAAGTCAAGTAAGACAATATTAGTACTATGAACTATAAAGTAAATAATTCAAGACAATAATAACAAACTTCTTTTAGCTATTCTTTTTTTTTGTTTTGTGTAGTGTTATTCTTTAATTTTTAAATTTCGAATAATCTTAGGAATTATTATAATAAGTCTATATAATGTATAATATGTAGTTTAAGGATTTTGAAACAATTAATTTTACCTCTGATTTTATTGAAACTTCCTATAATCTCGGAGAGTGTATTTTGGTGGGTTAAATTATTTTTTAAAATGCCATGATTAAATTATTTTTAGTTATATTTGGGATAAACATTATTTAAAAATACGACTATGGGTTATTTATATTGTTGAATCTACGAACTAACGTCGAATGTGGCCTTTTACGATATTTTTTCCCGAAAGCCATATGGGATGAAAAGGGATAAAATCATATTATGGATTACTCATTGTGGAGGATATACGCACAGAAGTTGCAAAAACGTTTTTTGATATTTCTACATTTTTTCCTGAACATCCATATGGGATGGAAATTAATAAAAGAGATGACAACAGAAAAACTAACCACGGATAATGTATAATAGAAGGTATACGAAAAAACGTTGTATGAGATATTTTTGATATTTTAAAATGTTTTCCCAATAGCCATAATTAGTGAAAAATATTCTTCCATTACCGTTTTCAAAGATAGTGTAATCATAAAATCTGATTGTTGATTATTATATTGTCATTGAAAATATGAGGGCATGCAAAATTTCAAGTCGATCGAACTACAGGAAGTGGGTCAAAAATCCATTGCAAGTTTTAAACTTTTTTATTTGCGTACTATTTTCCTAGTAAATAGATATTTTTGGCTTACACAAAAATGCTCAAAATATTAAGATGAAAAACATAGACAATTATTATAATCTATTTTATAGTTACAAATTAATACAATGTTCTATTTAAATTTATTAAAACATGTTTAAATCTATGTTAATTTGAACTTCGCTCAAAATATTTTTTCCTTGTGTACACAGATTTAAATTAAATTACTCTATTACATACCTACCTACCTAACTTTTGTTGTTGATTAGTTTGCAAATAATTTCCACTGCAGTTATCTTGCACCTATATAATGGAACATATAGAGCAAATATCTCATCAATTTTTTTAAATTTCGATTTTCGGGTAGAACTTGGGTAGGTGAACTTTTGTTTATAATTTTTTAAAGAACATGTGAGTATATTGACCTATATCAGCTTGCTAAATTTTTTAACAGTTAATTTTTAAATTACCTAATATTAACTAGTAAACTCATATACTTAATATAACTGTTTAAGAAGAAAAACAACTCGTTCCAGGATATTGAGTATTGGGAAGTAGTTGTCCTTCATCGCTCACCTCGAGCCAGTTTTGTGTATTATCATGGAATTATCATAAAATATAATATTATCAATTTTTAAGTATAGGTACCTATAATGATTATTAACGTATCCGAAAAATAATATTATAACTGAACCATGACCTCTAACATACGTCATATAATAGTGTGTTTATAATGTACTTTAAAAATGTATATAGTATTAAAAAAAAAAAAAAAATACGAAATGTAGAAATTTTGTATGAAAAATATTTAAACGTTCAAGTATATACCCCACATAAAATTATGTATTATGATTTACCTAATAAATTTTCAAATAATAATCTTCTTTTCTGCAAATTATAATATTAATATAAATCTAAAAATAATTTGTGTTGCAAAATTTAGACGTTACAGTTGCAATAACTATATCTTAAAAACTTAAAATTATACATTAAACGAAAGTTCGACCAAGGTACTAAAAGAAACCACTATGAACGTAATTAAATATAATTTTTGTTGGTATAGTATAATAATAATAACTGAAATAAATTTAATCTAATTGCAAAGGGTGGAAGGCTATACGTAAAAATCAAAAAGTCTTGTAAAAAAGTCTGCCGTTCATCTGAAATTTTAAGTTAAAATTTGGTAATTCTTTTTTGTTAATACAAGAGAAAAACTTTCGCCACGAAAAACGAAATAAAAATAGTACGGATGATTTGCGTTCTTGTCGTTCTTGAATACGTGTAATAATCCGTTTAAAGTCATATAAATACCAAATAATATATATTTATTATATCTTCAAGTATGAGTGAATTTCTGTAATATCGCGATGTTTCATACATAATATATTGTTTATTGATTATTTATTGAATTTTGAATGTTTGTCCAATATTATTTTATTATTTTGAATAACTGCTTAATATTTATGAATTTTATGCGTGATGATTGAGTGCAGAACACCGCCAATTTCTTAAAGAAACATCGAAATTTGACATTTTAAAGTTAATATCCGTATTAACTCATATATTTATACGCAATATTATGTAAACATTTTTTTTTAAATTCGGAGCGTAACGAGAGATTTTTATGTGTTTTTTACGAAATTTTAATTTAGTCCGTACGATGTGAATATAATTGTTTGAGAAAAAAAAGAAATTCAAATTTAACAGCAGGTTCATTATAAATAGTACTTATTAGTGCACCAAAAAAAAAAAAAAAATATATAATGTAATATAGTAATTTTTTTTTTAAGATCAAATTTTGAGGAAAATTGTATGTATATTACGGATTTTCAAATGATGTTTAAACGAACTTCGCTCAGAATCGCTTTTCGTTAGCAATGGTTTATCGTTATTTACATTTATACATTAAATAACTTTATATATCCTACATTCCCAACTTACCATTTACAACAGTATTTTTTATTTGTTGTGTCTGTAAACATTTTTTTTTTACCAAAAGTCTTGTTCCAATCAAAAATTGTATAGGAACTTTCTTGTAGCTTTTTGATCTAGTTGGTAAATTAAAACAGTCATTTTTTTGATTTTTCTTGTAATTTACTTAACAAATTGGAAAAAAAATGGTAATTTTTGTGTAATTTTTATTGGTTTTCTAATTATTTATAAATTATAATACTTTACTTAGAATCGTTTTTGTTAGTAATGGTTTATAGTTGAGTACAAATATACATTAAATTAATCTATATATTCTCCCTTCCAGCTTTACCACTAAAATAGTGGCACACCAATAATAACTAGTAGTAGAATCAGTCTGAATTTTTTGGCGAAAAAACCGTACCTGTATGTGTTGTGGTTTTCAATAGATAATTAATATTATGACGCAAATTTAATTATTTTCTTGTGTGGTGGGGAGAGGAGGGGTTTCCGGAGATAGTTAGTGACGAAGACTATAATATTATAGGAAATAAAATAAAATAATAATTTTTCTTTTTTTTATAATCTACCTACCGCGAAATACTATGTACGTACGTATATTAGTATTGTTTTTATTTTTCTGGATAGATATACCTATTATAAATACCTTGATTATTTTTTTTCGGGTGCGTCCTTGGATGCGAGTGGTAATAAATTCAGTGAAAATAATAATAATACTATAATAGTATAATACGCATTACCACACTCACCGTACGAGTATAATATTATATATAGGTAGGTATCGGAAGTAATGACTGTTTTTTTTTGTCTGTGCGACAACCGACTCGTCGGACGGGAAATAGACGAAGGGTAATCGGGGACCGCTGTGTGTCGTGTTTGTGTTAACTGGAAAAAAAAAACGGACGTCCTCATCATTTATTATTATAATACGTATACGTAGCTAATGTATATATATACTATACATATATACGGCACATTGTTGCTTAATTTGTGGGATTTAATGCTGTTTACATCGTGACGAAATAATATAATACCTTAGTGATGAGTACGAGACACGTAGGATTTAATTTTGGGGAGGTTCATTATTAAAAATTTCAAAATATTAAAATACTATAGAGTTAAGAAAAACTCCCCTTGGCTAGATTATTGATTCACATTTCCCAATAAATAAAAATAAAATAAAATAATTCCCAATAGTTTATACTATCGATACCTTACGTGAAATATGTAATATTTCTTTCGAATTTTTTTTGTCATTACCGAACAGATAAATTATTTTTATAAATAGTTTTCGAATACGATGAACTAACAAATAATTCCAGTAACTGTTCGGCTATACCTATAGTTTCCAAAGTATATTTCGTCTGATAGTCGAATTTCATTTGATTTGAACGTATAGTTTTCATATTATATTGTACTTTATAATTATGAGGGAGGGAGTACTATACAAATAACATTACCAGTTATAATAAAATAAAATAAACGTGTTATAATTTAATGAGTTCAAAAAACGATTTTTTTTTAATATATTATGGAAAACTAATTTTTAATAGTTTTAATGATGGACTCTTTTGACCTAAGTATAATTTGACCATCCCTAGTTAATTGTTAGTCATAACTAATGTACCGATGCACACCATACACTTGTGTATCACTTGTAGTATGATTTTATTGACATTGATCTACAAAAAGTATTGAATTAGGTCCCTATAGTTATATTTTTTAAATTCTGAGTGTAGCGAAGAATGTATTGGTTTTACTAAAATATCTATTCTTTTTAAATGATCTTTTGTTGTGTAGGTTTTACTAATTACTCTTACTAAGTGTTTAAGACCAATTTGAATCTTCGACATGTTATGAATAATTAAGGCAGGGGTGGATTCAGAGGGGAGATAGGGGTGATTGCCCCTCCAACCGTCCACTCTCCAATATACTCTTAGTTGTATAATACTTTTACCTAGATTCATCATAAATGCGTGCTTAACATGCATTTTCAAAATCACTCCTGCCTCTTGTTATATTTTGTCTTGGATCCTGGTTCCGGAATTGAGTAAATATTAATTTATCTTTTTCTACTGTTAATATACGATGAGCCGTTAACTTTTATTAAATGTCTAACAATACCGTAATATTTAAATATTATAAACACCTAATCTTCTAAAAAAAAAAAAAAATGAATAAAATTGATAAGATTGTTTCTTAGCTGTTTGAAATTATGTTATACGAATCGATCGATTTATTTTTTATTTATCACAATTTATTAATGTTTATCATTATATTATTTTGTTTGATTTATAATATTAATAACTATCATATAAAAATATTTCAAATTTTAATTTTTAGATTATACCATGACGTGATATCATTTCCAAGTGATTAAAATCATTAAATTCTCATTATCATTATTTATTTTTTATTTTTTATTCTAATCATTTGTGGCTAATATAATACCTAAATATAATGTTTGTATTTATTGTTCATATAAACGTATATCGTTATGAAATAAATTATCTCAAATGTTTATTGTAAATTATTATTTATTATATCAATATGAGTTAAGTACGGGCTAATCTATTATGTAGCTCACTGGATATTTCAAAAACTATTTATTTTTTTTTTTTTTTTATTTTTTTGTTTTTGACAATTTAAGAAACAGTCAGATTTAAAATATTACATTAATATTATTTTTTGACACCATTATTTCTGAGAGTGAAATGATAACCTACTTTCGATTTCATATGGCAACTTACATTTAAAAATAATATTAATAGATAAAATATTTATTTAACTATATTTTAGTATTGCAATTTTTGATTTCCGCTCATCGATTAACGAGATAATCCAATTTTAAGTTAAGGTATTAGTGGGATACTTGTGGAGCATCATTTGTATTATGGAGGCATGGCGTACGGCGTTTTAATATAACCATATTAAATGAATCTTCCTGTATGCATATATTCACGTATTTGTAAATTAATTGTACTTGTCTAATAATTTATTGAATTTATGTAAATTATTTTCAGTAGTCTTTAATTTTTTTGTTTTTTGTTATTTATTATTAATAATAATTGTATCGTTGAATGTATTATAACAACTAACAAGATAAGATAAGATTATATTTTTATTGTAAGTTCTATATATATATAAAAAAATATGGGTCTTAAATAATATTCGTTATTTAACTTTTATAAAAAAAAAGTTCTTATATCATTTATGTTTGTCCGTAAAACGTCTATTGTGACGGGATTCAAGTTGATGTTTTTATCTTATCGGTTGGAATTCTATCGCTGTAGGTTTTAGATTAAATTAGATTGAAATTATATTTTTTAACTGTTGCTAAATTTAAAGATGACATTTTTTGTCTACTTTTTGTGGTAGTGGTTCCATTGGCTTGTAACTTAAATTATAATATTACGTTTTGTTTGTGTTGTCTTAAATTTTTTGATGAATTTAAGTTGTAAAATAATAATTTTCAAATTCAAAGGTACATAATATATTATGTAAAATGTATTATTATAAACGATTACATGGTGTAATTATTATTGACTATAATATTGCCACACGTAAGGTTTTAGAAGATAAGGTCAAGCTATCAAATGCTGTTGCTTAGAGAGGAAGTTTTAAAGGTCCATTAGCCTGGAATTTGAAATTAGATTACCAAACTAACGCCATTTTTTGTAATGAATTCGTAATTTACTGTAACTTTTTTTTTTTCAAATTTTTAACACCCTCCAATGTCCAGAAGATATAATTTTGTTTTTCGTTGGATCTTAAACTTCTCTAATCGGAACCGAACTAATGCTGTTTTTTTTAAGAAATTATAGCACGATATCACATAACACAATGAAATAAAAATATGCAAGATACGCGACTCATATACCACTTATGGGACTTAGGCTTGCTCAATTAATAAGTGCGAAAGTGTGTGTTTGTTTGTCTTTTTCTCATGTTGTTACGAAGCGACCGATCGGTATGATTTTTTGCATAGGAATAGTTGGAGGGCTGAGTAGTATTAACTTTTATCCTCTAGAGGTTTTACTAGAGCAACCATTCTTGCATTTTGAGGTGGAGCTTAATAAGGACTACCAGTGGCGTATTTGAGGGGGGCGATGGGTGGATCGCCCCCTTCTTGGAATTTTTCGACTGTGATTTTTCAATCACGGCTGTAGGAAATAAAATAATATAGTATTTATCACCGTGTTATTATTATTTCTTGGGTATTTTTATTTGCATTACTAAAAAGTAGTGATAATGATATAGGTGATTAGAGCAATTCTTTGTCTATAGTATATATAGGGGTATCAATATAGATGACCAAACAGTAATCATCATATAGATCGGTTTGTAGGAGAAAAAAGATTAATATTGCTTTAAAATTGTTATACATATTTTTTTGTATAATTATTTGATATAAATATATTTTGTATACAATGTACATATTATTATAGGCATATTTTATTACGGCCATTACAGGTAAACGTCAAAATCGTGCAAATTTCAGAAATACCCGCGAAATGTCGTATTTCGGCTTTTTCCGGACAAATCTATTTAGTATAAATGACCAACATCATTTGAACAAAACTTTAACATCCATACATTTAAATTTTTCAAATTTGTAAGATTTGTTCGATTCAGCTGTTGATCGTGACATATTTATTATTTATAATTCATTTATTTTTTCAAACTTTTTTTAATTGTCAAGGAGAGGAATTATTAAAAAATGATTACTATTAAATTTTTTTTTTGGGACGAGGAAATCCCTTGTGATATTTTCTGGTATATTAAAAGTTTTGAACCGCCCCTTCCTTGATTGAGCTCTAGATACTCCACTGAGGACTACCAACCTCTATTACAATAACAATATGTCATTTCAGAAATTAAAATATATTATCAATATATATAATATTTATTTTTATGTACAGCATTACTATCTAATATAATCTAATCTAATACAATATAATATATAGTAGACCATTTTCTTAATATGACTTACGAATATGTTTATGAATCAACGATACCTATACCTATACCTATGCCCATAAACGTGATATAGGCGATTTCATGTTTATACAATTTTGTTCAATCCTATTACTGAAACATTTCAATATGTTTCAGTAATAATAAGGCAATTGTTAGTATTATTAGGTATATTTAGACACGCAGTGTGAACAATACCTAGTTGATATTACATGATTATTGTATTAATTACCTATTTATCTTATTTTATCTAATGAATAAAACATAAAACTGTTTATACCGATATTAATTAATAATTATTATAAAATACTAGGCATTTCAAGGAATAAAAAAAATGAAAAATAAAATACATAGCAGTTATGTACTATATTATTTAAAAATTAAACAGATCAATAAGCAAGTGAAAAATGTTATTGGTTAATTTTCCTATACTGTGATAAACATTACGTTAGTAGACGCTCATTATTCTGGAAAGTATTAAAATTTTTCAGAGTTTGTTTTTTAGAAAATTCAAGAAACAAGTAGCTTTAAAATGTTGCATTACCTTTTTTTTTCGGGGTGAAATAATTTAATATTTTCAAATAAAAACCTAGACATTTTAAAAATTCCATAAATAGATGGATTTTTTTAAAAAAAAAATAACTAAAACCGCCTCTCTAAGCGAGCACAAAATTAACACAGAAGATATACCTACTGTCCCGGTCTTTTTTTTTTAAGACGATGATTATGGGTCGTTCAAAATATATTAAAAGATAGTGTAGAACAATAATAATAATTTTGAATAATAATGTAACACTTTATTGTGCCACACTATAAAAAATTATTTATTTAATTCTGTTTGTGCACAAGTTATTAAGATTTGATTTTTTATTATGCAATTAAAACATTAAACGGATGGCTGGATTATTTTAAAACATCCATCGTGCAAGTTTTGGCTCATTAGTAATCCAACCGTAACCAAACAAATTATTGTGTTAACTCTCTACTATTTGATCGTATCGCTTTATTATATTATATTGTATTCTACCGTGTATACGTATATAGGACTTCCCAGTTTTTTTGTTTAAGGTAAAAACAATTAACAACCCAATTAATTGCATCCGGACAATAGAGTTATGTATTGATGTGTGTTTGTGCTGTGTGAACGAGCGATAATATTCATCGCATAGGCACCTCTAAAACGATGAATATTAATGCGACATTGAGGAAACAAAGTCATAACGAAATCCTTGGTCAGGGATCGTATATTCATGTGTGTTGTCTGTTGAGATTTATAGATGGTTTGAAAATGTATAACTTACGTTTAATAATTATTATTGTTGTTGGGAAAATAATTGTGCACAATTTTTTTTGTTTTTTTTTTTGTTTTTTGTTTTCATGATGTAATGTATTTTTAAACGATTTTGAACTTAAGTACATACATAAACGTAAAAAGTGTATAAAATATTCCTATATTATTATGTTTCGTGAATTAACAACAAACCATTTATAAATAAATTTCGTGGATAGATACATTGCGTTATTTGCACAGTCATCGGTAAAATAGAAGTAATTATATTCAATATTTAATACCTAATTAAACTATTCGTAATATTTGTTCTCATGATTGCAAGGTCGAAAAAAAGAGTATTTTTTTTTTTTTTAAATACGTTTCATATGATCTTTAAGAAAATTCCGTATTTAAAAAAAGGTGTAATTATTACTTTTTGAAAACTGAAAAAAAAATCTAATTTAATAGTATATAAAAACCCATAAGGTGGTCTGAATTTTTAATTATTTTCTGACAAATCGTGTTTGATTAAGTAACCCAGCGTGTTTTTGTTTAGATTTAGGTATTTAGAATTTAAATAGTTAAACTATTATTTATTTACATAATTCAATACAACTATTATGTTAAAAATATTATTAACATATTAATTAAAAATAAAACAATACCATACAAATAAATAGGTTAAGGGTATAATAATTATATTATATACTATTCAAACTTGATTGTTTTATGGCAAACTGTATATAAGCATATTTAAGTGTTCAAGTTGAAAGTCGACTTGTTGAAAATGTTTGATTGGTTGATTTTCTTGTTCTCCATAATAATAATAAATTAATTTTAAGCTTGTCTACCGGAACCTTAATTTTGTTGTGGAAACAACTTATGTTTCCCTGTAAGAAGAGAATTCTAACTTTTTAACGAAATTAATATCGATTTAAAATGTTGTGCTTTGCTCATAAAGTTGTGTCGGTCATTTAAACGACAAATCTTAAAATTAGTTTATTAGTTTATAAGTTACCTAACTTTATAATTGGAAAAAAAGTTATTTTAAGTAATTTACGAAAAAACACAAAAAATATGTATATTATTTATATTGTTTCATGAGGTTGGTAACTTCAAATTAAGATATTTAATTATAAAATTCATAGATGACAACATCTTGAAGACAACTTCATATCTGTGTTTTAAATTCAGAGTGAAGGCTAGGCATGTATTGGTTTTACAATAATGTTTATAATTTTTAAATTTGTTTATAATGTGTATACAATTTCTACCAAAAATCTTGCTCCAATTTTCAATTGTACCACAATTTTTAAAGAAAATTTTATCTTTTTGGTACTTTAAGAAAGTCATTTTTAATTTTTCATAAGGTTTTCTTAATAATTAAGAAAACCGGAAAAAAACATAGAAATAACAGTTAAATTTACGAAAATAATGTTTTTTTTATTATGGTTGAATTAAAAATATTCGTGAAGACTTGAAATTTGGACAAACACTTATTTTATATTCTGGGTGGAGTTTATGGTTTTGCAAAGATATTTATTTTTTTATTTTCATTATTTTTTATCTTTCAACTTTTCTACCAGAACACTTGCTCGGATTTCTACGTGTAGCACCTTTTATGAAAGAAAATCGGTGTGGGAAGGTACCCTAAGGAAGTCATTTTTCGATTTTCTCAAAAGTTTTTTCATCAAATGCAAATCTTCCCCCCCCCCCTCAAAAAAAAACGTGATGATGTACGAAATATATTACGATTTTGTTTTCCTGTGCATAACTTTTTTACCAGCAAATTTGCTCCAACTTTTAATGATAGCAATAATGTTTCTATAAGGAAATTTAACTGAGACTGAACTCTGTTCAGAACCGTTTTTTCATAGGCAATTGTTTATCGTTGCTTATAGGTATACATTAAATTATCTATAACAGTGGTAGCACCAGTTTTCATTATTCTAGGACGTCTTTTTTGCATTGTAGACGTGATCAAATTTTCAAAAACATTTGAGTTATTTTTGAGCTATTTTTAAGCGATTTATAGACATTTTAATTTTGTGAGTTTTTTACGTAATGTTTATTCGGTAAGTACTCTATAGATAAAATTGTTAGACCAAAAAAACAGAAATGCTTGAAAATTTAACAGGAGGTTCATTATAAGTTGTGCTTAGTGCCTTAGTGTTCAACAAGAAAAAGTTGAGTTAAATGTAATATTTTTTTTCTTTTATAAGAAAAATCGAATCTAATTAACAAAAATCAGAAATATTACGGCCTTTTAAAATGTGTGTAATCGAACTCCGCTCAGAATCGTTTTTCATTAGCAATGATTAATCGTTGCTTACAGTTGCACATTATAGATTTTTTTTCTATATCCTACCTTTCCAATGTCTCACCTTCAACAGTATGTAGTATACTACACCTTCACCTGTCGTGTTAAGTATAGTCTTTTTTTTTTTTTTTTTTCAATTAAAAATATTTGTAGAGAAGAAATATTGATAGAAAACTTAAATTGACATTTCAAGATAATGTCAAATTTCCAAAATATTCTTCAAATATTTACAATTTTCTTTAAATATTCAAATCATTATCATCGAAGGTACAAACAATCGTATTTTACATTATTTTTGTTTCAAAGAAATGCAACTTTTTAAATACCTAATATGTCTTCAAAAACGCCTATGAGGTTGTTTTTAAAATTTAATCTAACATTTAATTCATAAACAAGAGCCTTTAATTTGTTTTACGTGAACACATTTTTGTTATATTAACTTTTAGAAAGACAGAGGTAGCAAATTCTACTTTGACGATGAGAACCACTGTGGTCAGGTCACCTTTATCCACAAAAATTCAACACTGAATCGCACTACCAGTGCATAATGTATTCAAATTGTAGGAAATTCAAGGAGCAGTATTTTTAAATAGTGAGTGATAGGGAGGGGAATATTACATTGTTCGGATGGTGTTAGTAAACCACTAACACCACCCATAACAACGACGGCAATAATACCATTTTATTCTAAAAAATTAAAAGTTCTCTTATTTTTTTTGTTTTTTCCCAATGGTTTTATGTCACCTCTACACTAAATTCATGTCACCACAAGGCGAGATGTCACTCCGGTTGAGAATATAATATATCAGCTATACCTGTACAAACATTTTTTTTATCAAATATTATAATGTGATTATGCGGAATCAATTAATTGTTTAAGGAAATGCCCGTCGTTAATCTCGTTAAATTCTCAACGAGATTATAACAAAGAATGGAGAAAAGTAATGTTGTTATTTTATACGATTTGTATAAATGTATTATGTATGTACCTAATTCTTCCGTAAATCAATATAATATAATATAAATACGGCCAATACATATTTTTAATTTTTGTTGTACGAATTTAATGATCCTATTGCTTTCTTTGATTACAAATAATGTTTAAGATTTTAATTATAAAACATTTATTATGTTTAAATGGGTACATATAGTATTTTTTTTTTTTTTTGTACTCTTGGTGCCTTTGTTACACATAAATGTCTGAAAAAATTAAAAAAGACTGTCCCTAATTCAAATTTCGCTAAACATGTTAAAGAAAATAACCATAGTTTTGATGTTATATTAGAAATATTAGAAATATTAAATACCTGAAATAACATTTATATTAATTCAGTTTTGGAAGAATTACACATACATAATAAACTAAAGAAAAAAATTTTAAAATTATTTTAAGTGTACAAGAGGATTTTAAAAATAATATCTTATATCAATACATTTTTAGATAATACACAATAACCAAATAATTTATATTTCTTAACATATCTATGTCTACTCATTTTAAAAAATCTTTCCTATTAAAATAAATTATTTCTATGTAAACGACCAATTTTTACAATTTTTTTTCTATGTATTGCTTCATTTATTTATTTATATTCAGTCACGTTTTACTTTTTGACTTTGAGATTTACCTGATGATGAATTTTTAATTTGAAACCAATCGTACAATACACAAATCTTAATACTTCGGACGACGCATTCATTTATTTATTTCTACATATAAATTATTAATTTATATATTTATTTACAAGTATTAACCATTCAATAATTTCCCTTTTTTTTATTAATTTGTTATTTAAATTTTACCTAGGCTAGCGTATAGTTTGACATAACGAAGATTTTATCGTCAATAATTTTGGCTAATAAATTTAGTATTGTAAAATGCTCGAGAATAATCTTTTGAAGAATATTCCCCTAGTACTATCATTTTCTAGCATATGCATTTTTTTGTTGTTAATTCATGCTCATATAAAAATGTAGTTTCAAAAATATGCAAAAATATTTTAATTTGTATGCAATATAGTAATATATATTTATATTATAGATTACTATAATTATAAATATCATATGAATATTAATAATAGGTATTATATTAAATTAGTACTCTTATTTTTAATTTTTTTTTCTTAGAATTTTGTTTGTATTGGAGCATATTTTTTATCGAAAGTATGCTGTACATTTTTTTTGAACACAAGCATTTGAAAAAAAACAAAATTGATTGTTGTTTATACTAAATAGTGATTAATATAGTTAATTTATTTAATTTTGCATCTCTTCTCCCCATTTCGCTTGCCAATGTACTCTTAATAAACTTGGTTTTCGACATAAATGTTTGCCTTATACATGCATTTTTAAAATTTCTTGTTATATTGTCTTGGATCTGCCTCTGATTTTATCAACGCCTTTTAATTGTTTTAACATAATATACTTAAATGAGGTAATATTATTTTTAAATGTTTGCTATTTGCAATTTTACGTAATATAATATATTAATTCAAAACATATTAGTGATAGGATTATTTTAATAAGGAATTATTATAAATTATTATATCGACTTGCTAACGTTATTACAAGGACTAGATATATTTGTTTCAGTTGTTGTCTCGCCTAAAAACAAATCAACTCTTATAACAAAAAAATAATGCATGCGATGCAACTTTGTATAATTATATAATTTCTTTTTGATTTTTACTATTATACTTAATATTTACTCGAAACTGTAACTATGTTAGTACTATTCAATTTTCAAAGAACACTTTTTGAGATTTCACTATTGAAATTTAATTATTAAACAAATACAAAAATCTGCGGACAAATATAGCATTACCTGTGGTGTTATAGATATCTTTTTTTAACGATACACTATTTTTATATATAGGTATATTTACAAAAGTTTGGTATTCTGTTAATTAGCAGTTGTGTTCACTTAAGTAAATTTGAGAAAATCCTTGGGAGACAAATATCTGTTGTACCAAGAATGAATTGTAACAATGTTTAGGCCAGTATAACATATTATTTTGAATTTAGTTAATGCCTTCATATTATCAGCTTGTTGATAATTACCTATGTGAATGTTTTAATACGTAATATTATCATGTTGGCCAACATAACCAAACAGCTCCTAAATAAAATAAAATAAACATACTTTAGAATAGTAAAACATACCTTCTTTACCACAGATGTAGCTTGTTATTTTCTAGTAATTATTTTTGATAAATACACAATTATAGTTGATAATAGGTATACTTTAGAAAGATATTAATTTTAAAATCGTATAGTTGACAATGCCCTGCAGGAGACTGCATTAACACATAGAACGGGGACGTTTAAATTTTGTTCTACTTCATTAATTATTTTTTCGAATACGATAATTAATAAGAGTGTATAATATCGTGTTCAAATTAAATATAATAATATCTCTGCCGGAGGTGTTTTTTTTTTCCATAGCGTGTACCTATAGTACCTATTTTCTATATCTCACGTTTTAGGGAATTCATTCAAATATTCTATAGCTGAATGTTTCTTACTTAAAATTATCATGAACGGTATTTGATTTTTTTTTTTTTTTGTATTTTTCTATAGGATTAATAATTTGTTTTAACTAACCTGAATTTGATTATAGGAAATGCAAAATAATTATTATTCATCTTATAACGGAGCTGTATTTATAGGTATATAATTGAACATGGGTGCTACTTTAAACAAGTTATTTTTCAAAAGGTTTTAAGCGTTTTCCTATTTGATATATATCGCATTTAAATTTTAAATAGGTAATAATACCCTTCTGTGTTATAGTGCTTAGCAGATTTTTTTTATATATTATAACGAGTGCTCAACATCCTGTTTTTATAACTCGGTTTAAAAACAAATATGTATAGTACATTTGTTAATCGATATTTTAGAAATTTAGTTTTATAATATTATAATAATAATCGTTGTTTAGTGCCTTCTAAAAACATTTTATTTTTTGTTTTAAATTAGGGAAGTACCTTTAAGTATTAGGTATGTCTATAATATTTATTTTGAATAGAAAAAAGTGAAACTCATCATTAGAGGTTGGATTTAAATGTCCTTAAACCTATTGAAAAATACTCTAAAACAATGCCTCTTAACGAATTAAGACCCTTAAAAAAATACCCCAAAGTGATAAGAAGTATTCTGAAAACAGACAACAAAAAATGCAAAATAAAAGTTTCTCTTTTTTTGTTATTTGTTTAAGCCGGGTGACGCATTACAAACGTTAATAATGTTAAGACAATGACTCAATTAAAATCAATTGAATAGAACGATCGAACGAAGATTGAAAATCTGTAATTTTAAAGAATATGTACCTAAAAACAATTAAATCAAATTACATGAAAATAAAATTTCTAGAGATAATATTTTGAATTAGGGTACAAAAACTAATAAAATGAAAAATTATATTTAAAAAAATCGAAAAAGCTAAAAATGAAAAGAAAATGTAAAATAAAAGTTTCGCTTTTGAAGTATATCTGTTACATAAATCGAATTATGTACTTGAAAAGTATTTTCTTAGATTACCCAGGAAAACATGAATTTTTTTGAAAAATTAAAATCCTGGCCCTACTCATTATGTATTTCAACTAAATTAATTTAATAATAAAAAACGATCACATGTCTCCTACAAAACATAGGTTAAAAATCAAAGAATTCAAGTATGTTTTCAAAATTAAAATTTAGCGAATAGTGAGTGAATTGTAATCCAGCCTTTTGTTGGTCAAAAACGTCATATTTGTCCGTAAAAACTGCAGTATTTCTTTTCCTTAAATGGGGTATTGGGCTGTATATTAGTAGAATAGTCTCATCGTTAAGGTGTTCACTGAAAAGTAAAGAATCATTTTTTAATTTAAAAGTTTAAAAAACCGTCCTCGAAATTCTATTGATTAAAGTTAATATTATAATATCATCTATGCGATATAGGGACAAGCGAACGTGCATTTATAAAATACTGAGTTTTAAATTTTTCATTTTTAGTTTTTAAAGTGTGTATTATCATTAATCAAAACCGTCACGTTAATTTCCGTATTTATTTAATTTTAGATTGTGTTCAATAGAATGAATGATATTACAGGAAGGAAATACATCACAAATAACTTTTTTTTCAGTTTCATGATTGAACATTTTGTATATAAATTCGTTTTGTTACACCTATTTTTTATTTTTTTCTAGTCGCGTTAGCTCAATGGGCGATGCCAATGTGAAATATACAAATTGCAGGAAATTTAAACAGTGCTGTTTTCATGAATAGCCGTTTTCACCTATTTGTTTGGGCGTTTTACCGTTTAGTGGTAATTCAGGGACAGTTTCATAATATATACATTTTTTTTTTTATAAGGTCAATTTGACAAACAACGATTTTTGCCCGTTCTCGTCAATGTAAATACGTACGTATTACCTACCTATATTCGTAGTTAAAATTGATTATAGACTAGTGTGACTATTATATTATTTATAGTAGACTAATCAATAAAATTTATTTCGTTATAGCTTACTATTATTATAATGTAATTTTTTTGTACTTGACTTAAAAATTTCGCGACTATTAAAAAAAAAAAAAAAAAATACTGTATATTGCGTTTGTTAAAATTAATTAATTCGATATGTCAGCGGTGTACCAAAATAAAAAGTTCTAAAAATGCGAAAATTTGTATTTGTCATTGTGTAAAAATCAGCATAAATATTAAGAAGAACGCTCGGTAAGCGTACAATATTTTTAGTCGATATAAATATAAACTTTAGTTACGCGTCTATTATATTATTTATTTTTATGTTTGGTATGCATTTGGTAGACCGTCAAAATTGCTTAACTATTATTGCTACCTATTAAATCTAAACTCCACATTCGATTCATGCAAATGTGATTTTTAGTTTAGTAATAATATATGTATGGGATAGGTCAGCGGTTCCCAAATTTTTTATATTCAAATCTTTCTAAAAAATAGGAACATTTTATCATGACTCTCAGGATTGAATAGTTTTAATATAATATACTTTAATTGTATATATATATCTTAATATATAAAATATAAAATAAATTGGGTGAAGAATTATTTTTTTTTCGTACGTATTCCCATTTTTTTTTTTTATTAATGCATCAAAATAAGGAATTAACGTTGTAACTGATACACGCATATCGTTTTCTATTAGGATACTGCTAAAAATCTTACTTCACACTATCTTGCTACCTTGCTACGATTGATATACATGAATCTTTGTTACTAAATTCGGGATATTCATCTTAAATATTAGTTCTAAGTTCTAAAATCTAAAAAATCAAATTATCTAAAGATAAATGTGTACAATATTGATTTCTCACCTTCTCTGTTAAGTATTCACATGTCTCACAGTTTGATAATCACTGGGATAGTAGAGTGATAAAGAAAAAAAGGCTCATACTGCTGTGTGCCATTGTTTTAGGAGGGAAGTTGAAAGAGAGCGAAGGCATATAAACTTTAAAGTAATTTATTTTTTTACCTGTGCACAACGATAAACGTTTATTAATTGCTTATTAATCGTATTTTTTTTCCTTGTTGCCAAGATAATTAAAAAATTATAACAAAAATTGACATTTTTTCCTATTTATTAAAAAAACTACAAGTAAAATCAAAAAATTACCTCCTCAATTCACTATTTAATAAATCATAAAATAAATGTTACAAAAAAATTTCTATATAGTTTTTATTCGGAACAAGATTTTTGATAGAAAAGTTATTTACGGACACAAAAAAATACATCGTACCTAGTAAAAGGTATACCCATATGATAAAAATATGATATTATATGATAAAAATCAAAGTAAAAACGTAGTACAGTTTTTTATTTTTGACTAAATATTTAATTTTTAAGTACTAGGAGATTAGTGTATTTAAATTATTTTGGTTTGAATGAAAAACAATTAAGTCGATTTAGTTCGACTTCAATTTTGTCAACATTATCCGTGAATACGATCAAAGAGATCTCGAAAATAATTTTCTACACTCTTAATAATTATCATTGATCTTGTCGATGTGCACGTAGATCGACTTTAGTTTTCATATATGTCTCACAGATTACATATTTTTTTGTATTTCAAAAGTATGAAGTTGCCATATATTTTTCTAATAATTTCATTCCAAATTCGACGAATTTATTCCGAACATAATATAATAATATGAAAATTATACGAATATAAATAATATGAAAATTATACGAATATAAATAATATTTGCGTACACTATAGTTAAATAAATAGCGTTTCCGCTTTGTCTTTATAATTTAGTCGTTAATAAAAAGCCATTAAATTATACCGTAGAAAACGTCTCTAACATTCACATATTTTGATATTTTAGTGTAGATAAAAAAAAAAAATATATAATAACATTAATAAAAATTAATTTCCCAAGTATTGCTCGCCTGCCGAAATATTTTTACTACAGAAAATAACAATTGTATAACCTTTTGAACGACAGCGGTAATATTTGAACAATACGTCATTTTTAATACCTATTCCTAAATATCAGACAAAGAATTTTCGTAGGTATTGTTTATATTATAATATTTTTCACGAATTATTACGCGGTTAGCCGGATAGAATCTTTATTTTAATACGTTGTTATTTGTTTGTTTTTATTATGCGCGTCACTTCGTATATCTATACCCATATTTTTTGATTATTAATAATATATGTATTTTTTTTTCTTCGTAAGTTCTATGTGATTACAAATACCGATATAAATTTTATTTTTTACTGAAATGTTATGAAATTCAAAATGTATTCGTCGTGAGTTTGTGGTTAGGTAGTAAATTTAAACGACAGCTGTAAATATTATTATATTATTATAGGTAGTACTCGTACTGTTGTAATATAGTAGGTGCACATTCGTTATTTATCGAATTCAGAATTAATTATTGTAAAATTATGGTAATAGAATACCTATAACGATAAAATACTATATGGGTACTTTATAGTGGAATTCCATAATAAATAACGCGTAAAAGTAATAATATATTGTGGAAAATCGAATAAAATTACAATTCAACTAAAAGATCTTATAATCGGTAGAGCATTATGTCTCCCCGTCCTCTTCCCATTCCCTTATAAATACAACACTTATGATTACTTCTGGAGCCGACTTTTAAATTCTTATTGTCGAGTTAGGTATCACAAAAGAAAATTCCTATTATTTATTCAAGAATCACAATTATTATATTTGGTGCATCCCCTCGTTTTGACAATTTTACGCCACTGTTGTTATCATAATATATTTTTCTTCCGATAAGCAATCGGCCGCTAGGATATCCCGCTATACCTTGCATCCAATGTTCCTTATTCACTAGTTACTTGTGCCTTCAATCACCAATCTAATACTAGGGCTTCCACGGCTTTTCTTACTATATACCTACAAACATCTCATATAACGTGATTTACCAGTTTTTTCCTGATAAGATTTAATGCATGTAAGTGCTATATCAGGCACGTATACAGGGGGGGTTCAACTACCTCCTCCCCTTTTCGAAAATTAATAGTTGTGTAATTTATTTATATGAATATTTATAATATTAGTAATATTGATTATTGTAAATTTTTTATGAATTTTGTTGTGATAGATATAATTTGTTGTTATAGACAATACAACATCCGATAATGATTTTTGAAGTCGAAGCCGTTCGTTTGGATTCCAATATAGATTCCGCAACTTTAAATTCAGGTTTACACGACTATAAAAAACTATATATTATAATCAATTAGATGCGTTTTTCCCACAATTTATTGATCCCAAGTCGATTTTACAAAAAAAAAAAAAAAAGTACGGAAGTTATGAAAAAAAAAAATTATATATTCAGAAAAATACAATGAAAAAAAATGTGAAAAATTGATTTTATCCCAAGACTTTCTTGGGATCATAAATTCAATCGCTTTATATAATTATAATATTATATAATATGTTATTATAAGAGTTATTAACCTCCATGTAAAAAAAATCTATAAATTAATTTTTAATTCCGTGGGTTACACGCGAAAAAAAAACTATCGTATCGCGCCCATAACGATGTTATTCGTACCTACCTAATAATAATAATAATAATAATAATAATAATAATAATAAATTTCGATGTAAGTCCCCGCCGTCTCCACTTCGATGGAATTCGCGAGCCCAAAAATTGTTTGACCGATAACGGCGACGCAACAACGTGCGTGTGTGTGTGTGTGTGTGCGCGAATGATAAATATCCGGTGTGAAAAAAACCATTAACGCTATATGTTATAAAAATATATAATACATAATATACATATTATTATAGTGTGTGTGTTTGTGTGTGGTATAGTTCGATTGACAATCTCATTTTCATACGCGAGGCTCGAGGCGGCTCTGTCCATTTCAAGGTCTGCACACGCACACGACTACACTTCTCCGCTCTCCGGTGTTGTGGTGGACGAAAAAAAAAAAAAAAAAAAAAAAACTCGTGCCGCTGCTGCTGCGGTGCAGCTCTTCGCGCCGACACCACACAGCCTTTCATTCCACATTCTAATGAACCCGGTCGACGGACGCGTGTTGTTTTGATACCACACCACACCGTCGTCGTAATCGCACGCTGCTCGTATTATCTTTGTTGTTATTATTTTTATCGCCATAAACGCGCGCCGCCGTGACGTTGTATAATACCGCTCGATACTCGTAAGTAAAAAAAAAAAAAAAAAAAAAAAACAATCGTCGAATCTTTCCGAGATATTTTGTTGATAGTGTCTAGTCTTTACCTACCCGATTAATTTAACCGCCACAAAAACGTTTGGATTTATTTCGTACGCGAAGCCCAACATTAGTAATCTATCTGACGCGCGGAAAACCGTTTTTTCCTTTTCTTTTGTCTGTTAAATAAACCGTGTGTCATAACCGCGTGCGTGTTTTGCAGATGAAATCGACGTCGCATCCCGCGGCATATTACCTCTTTTCATCAGCTACACGACCGGTCAGAGACAAGTTATGATATCAGTTTTATGATATCGGAGTTGATATCAACGACGACGAATCGCACGTCCTGAGTCTCGGTCCGGTTTGTTCCGACCAAACACCACTACAATGGTGGTAGATCATAGTGGGCCCAACAACAGTCCAGGTAATAAAGTTGACAAAACAAAAATTAACATATTTAGTTTTTATTATTATTTTTCAAATCATTTTCTAATGTTCTTTTTTTTGTTTTCTCCATACGTATTGATTGATGATATGACTTTAGTATAGGTATGTGCAGGAGAACTATGCATTTTAGTATATTATGCATTATAGTATTTTTTTAAATTATATTCGTAACGAAATAACCATATTTTAAAATCTGTCCGAGAAGACATTATTTGTTTATTGTATTTTAATATCTCATATCAGTGGATTTTTTTTAGTTTTATGGGAGTTTTGGGTGGTTTTTAGTACGTTAAGTTCACACTCAAAGTTATTAGACATATTATTATGGTTTTTGAAAAATAATAAAATCGTCTTGAACAATGGCCAAACGGTCTAACGGGTAGGTGCACCCTCTATCAATTTTTATAAAGAGGAATACAATAATAATTATGAATTAAACAAATACTTGAATTTAAAACTGCGGTCAGTGTGTACACCTGACAATACCAACATGTTAAATTAATAAATTGATGAACTTTACGTTTAATTATGGTACCTATTTAACGGAAATCCGATTGATTCACGCCTATTACACATTTGCTAAGTTTTTTGTTTGTTTTATTTGATTTGCTCTATCTGTAAATAACTTTTTTTACCAGAAATCTCGTTGCGATTTTCGAGCAATAATTATATCTGGTTGGTATAAAGGTAATATTTATTTTTTTGATTTTTCATATAATTTTCTTAATAGCAATTTGGAAAATACACGAAAAACCGGTTTTATTATTTTCGGCTTTTTACAATCGGGGAAACTTGAAATTTGCTCGGAATATTTATACAAGCTTTTTATCTAAACACGTTAATTTTTCAATATATTCTGACGACTTTTAAGCTATTTATAGATATTTTTAAGTTTCCAATATTTTTCGTTTTTTTTTTTTATTCAGCTAGCAGTTAAACCTGTTTTTTAATTTGTTTTAAAATAACGGTACACTTATACGATACATAATTTACGATGTCCGTTAAATTAATGAACACACATTATTCATTTAAAAAAAAAATTGGAATCATTCGCCAAATTGAATGTATAAATGTATTACTTTTTTTTTTTACTATCGCCTACCTCGTATCATCATGTCAGTGCGTTAAAGTATTCGATTATAACGTACAAACCAACTCACTCTATAGTATAATAATATTATTATTTTCAAAAAGAATTCGGATTTTTTTTCTGCACGATTTTTCATTAATGTTATTCACACAAGGTAACTTGCGGATATTCTGCAAAACACACCTGTTGTGTGGAATTTATCCGCTGTGATTTAACCGTCGTCGTCGTCGTATTTTTCGGTTTACTACGTAGTTGTATTTTATTGTTATTATTTTTTTCCCCGACACGTAGCAGGTATGTTATCCTAAAATGTCCGCGTCCCTGTTTCGTTGGTTACCCTCCTCCAATAATATTCCATTCATAATAATATTCTACGAGATAATAATATTAGGTACCTAAAATACTACGCGTCCATAGTATACGCGTTGTATAGTTACCACCACGTGAATCGTCGTCGTCGTATGCGTTTGGCGTGGCCTGACGTTCGATTATGATCGAAAATGAATAAAAAAAAAAAAAAAAAACATAATATAATAATATATATATGTATGTGTGGATACAGAAGAAAACAATATGCTATTGTATGTACCTTATGGGCTCTCGGTGTAGGTATATAATAATAATATTACGCCGGTTTTTTTTTTTTTTTTTTTTTTGTGAATAGCATGTCTAAAATAATTTTTTTTTTCCGGAACAATAATCTCTCAAGTATTCGGTATTATATGGTACTTTGACTATTTCATCTCCAAATACTCGTAGACGAGAATGTATACGTAGATATAAACGCGTTAAAACGGTAGGTTCATATTATATAGTAATATACGTAGTGAAAAAAATACCCCCAGAAATTACTCCCAAAAAATTTTTAATAGTATTTAGAAAAAAAACCCACAGGTAATAGATAGATTTCCTGAATAATTTTGCTCGGAATCGTTTTTCGTTAGCAATGATTTATCGTTGCATACAGAATTAAATTACTCTATACATCTATGTACCTTCCCAACTTGTATTTTTTTTTTTTTTTTACCTATCTAATAATTTCTAAAATCGAAACATATCGCTATAGTAAATACAAATACTTCCCTAATTTGTAATTTTATTATCCCCGCGTATTATTACGGTAAAATATTTAAATTAATAATTTAATTTATATTACTTATTTTATGAATATTAACCTTGTAAACAATAATAAATAATAATAATAATAATGATTATAAAGTAGGTATCGTTCTTTGAAAAAGATTTTCAAATGTAAATTTACAAGACATTCCCATTAATATTAACACCCGTGTGTCATATTATTTAATTTAAATCTATACCTACTTTCTAATACTATTGTGGGCCAATTTTGATTTTCAACAGCCGTATGAATAAACATTATCGACGTATTACCGTTCGACGCTTTTTTTTAACTACATCTTTGGTCATCTTAGGAAAGAGAAGGAATAAATCAATTTTTGACATTTGTTCATGTAATTTAGTCTTATGCAATTTTGTTCTTTTTATTTTTTGGTTTAAATAGCCTAAGTATGTGTATTTTCCAAATTAGTGTATGTAGTATTGTACTTTGTAGTGTATAAATGTATGTATAACTGTACAAGTGTATATATTTTAAAATTTAAATTTGATTTTTGCATTAAAAATTATAAAAAATTGATTTAAGTCCTTCTTCTCTGAGACCGAAGATATATAACAACCAAAACTCGGAACTTCAATTGGTTAAAAGTACTGATATATGAACACATGCGTACAAAATATGCATTAAAAATATTTGAAAATTTGAAAATATTAAATAAAACAATAATTAACTGGCATCATTATATTTAACCGAGGTATGACTTTAAAAAAAAATTTCTTTTTTCTATTGTTAAATTAATATGATATGAAATCTGCATTTACCTATTTAAGTCCTTAATATACTCTTAAACTATATATTCGCACAAATCAGAGTATAGGTAGTACCTATACTAAATTATGCGGTAGAAATGTTTATCTTTGTAATGTGTATAGATTATAGGTTAAGCGTTAGGCCCTGTATATACTGAATGATTTTTTTTTTTTATCATGAACCAGCAATTATTTTAGAGAATTTTTAGTGAATTTGATTTCTAATTTTTATTGTCATTAAGGAATCATTTAAGCTTTATTTTAAACCTTTTTCAATTTTTTAGCCCTACTCCATATACTTTAAATAAGTACATACTTTTGATTTTTAAATAGGAATGAGGAGGGGTGTTCCTATTTTTATGTGTTCAAAAGGGAAGGGACATTTTGAACACAGATTTGAATAATGAATATTTTTCTAGAAATTTTAATATGCATAACACTAATATCAGATTTACCGTTTATGAGTTATATAAGTTTAAAGTTTAGAAAGGGTTATAGATAGGCAATTTATTACCCTTTCCCGTACTAATTTTGTTTGCTAACCTTCCACGAAAGGTTCGGCTCCAAAATGTACACCCGGCTTTAGGTTAGGCTCAGGGCCTTGTAATGACACGATTTTCTCGTAGTCTCATGTCGAATAATATAAATTGTTAGTTTCGATCAACTTTGAGGTAAGCTTGATATCACGTTTGTCGACGGAATTTAAAAGAAGAATTTACTAATTTTATTTACGTTTCGAAATAAATTAATTCGGTAAAAACTTTAATAATATAGTATTTACGTATGAGTAATATAGGTACCAAATAAAAAAAAACATATAAATCAAAAATAATATAATATATATAGAAAAAGAATAATACATAGACTAAACTATTTTAAAGGTTGTAGGCAAATACAGCCGGTTTTGATTTAAATAAATATCGTTAGGTTATGTTTGGACAGCAAAGGTGAAAAAATGATACGTAATGTATAAAATAAAAACGAGGAATAGGTAAATAGAAAAAATTAATATTGTTTACACAGAGAGTTAACCATTTTTATTAAAAACGATTGCAAAACGCAATGAGATGACATAGATTTAAGAAGTTTTATTAAGACCTTGTTCACACGATGACACTATAGAGAGCCTGTAATCAGAGAGTAACTACCGAACCTTTTTTCAATGGATATGGACGGCACCATATTGTGTAATTTTTTGTCGACACATTGTTATCAGCATAGGTTTAATTCTAATCTGTGCAGGTTAGCAGTAAATATGAAATTTCACCTAACTTAACGTCATTTGCAAATATTGAATTCATACTTCGTGTTTTTTTTTAATGAGCTTTTAATAATTAAATTTCAAATAGGTTTCAATAAATAATTTTCCCCACAAAAATGGTAATTTAATGAGAATTATCTATTAAATGGTTAGGGTACTTTATTAAAAATATGCCATATTTTATTACCTTGGTAGATTCTTGCAATCTTGGGCTGCACAAGTTGGCATTTTCTATTAAAATAAATGGACTCAAATACAATAATTTATTTTTTATAGTTTTAAAATATTACATTAACTGATAAATATATGTATAGGTAATTAAACTTGCAGAAGTCCTGTAAAACTCATTTAAATTATTTAAACGTAGTGTTACTCTAGAGTTCATGATAATTTGAAAAAAAAAAAAACGAATACGAATAAATAATTAAATAATACTTAAATACCGTAAGTAATGTATATTATTTGAAATCTTTTAGAATAACATTAAAATGTTAATTGATAATATTGTTAGGATGCAATTTTATCATTACTAAATGTCGAAACTGGTAGGTAGTGACTTTCTGATTAAAGGCTTTCTAGATTACAATACGCTGTGTGTTACTCTGGTATCACTGCACTGTCTGCACCTAATACTACATTATCAGTGTCATCATATGAACGACTCTTTATTATCTAAAAAAATATTGGTATAGAATATTATTTTAGATTCTGAGTGGTGCGAAGAAGCTTATGGTTTTACAAAGATGTTTATTTTTTTGTTTTTATCTGTACGCAACTTTTCTACCAGAAGACTTGTTCAGATTTTTTAGTGTAGCATCTTTTTTGATAGGAAATCGATGTGGGGAAGTGCCTTTAGGAGGTCATTTTTCGGTTTTCCAAATAGTTTTCCTAACAAATGTGAAAACTCGGGATAAAACATGGGAAAACCGGTAAAAACTGTACAACATTAAACAAATATTACTAAAAAAATATATAAAGCCTATTTATTTATTTTACTATAAAATAACAAATATATTGTTAAAAAAACATCACTATCAATTGAACTTCGCTCGGAATCGTTGTTTCGTAAGCAATGGTTTATTTTTACTTACAGGTATACATTAAAATATTAAATTATCTATAACAGTGGCTGTACCCGTCCCCAATATCCTAGAACGTCTTTTTTTAAATCTGTTTGTACACTCAAGATGATAACAAATTTGTTTGCCCTAACTTCATTTTAAGTACCTATGTAACTTCAATACAAAATTAACGGAAACGTCTTGGTTATTCAAAATCTCCGAATCATTGTTTGTATCGAATCAACAGAATCTATGATTATTTTCTAAAACATGCCTTGCAAAATTGGAATTAAAAAAATCTTTCTTAACAATTTTAAAACTAAACACAAAGAACATAGATATTTCTAAAATAAATTAAAGTTTTACCAATATATAGAATAAATAAAATTAAGTACATTTAAATTTATATAATTCAGCATTAACAAAAGTAATGAGATATTTTCGTTAAGTCCTTAGCATTACAGTTTATTCGTTTTCTCGATTATTATTAGTTTTAAAAGAGATTAACATTATTATCATTATTGTTTAGAATTGTTGTTATTTTATTATATTTGATATTTTATTGAGTATTAATCTAAAACAATTTTTTTTTTATGTATAAATATATTGTTGGTTAAATATATATTTTAGTCGTTTTGGAATTTGTATGCCATTCCATCCGTACTAAAAATACTAATATACGTATAATAAATTCTTATCTTTTATGACTGCGAATTGCTTGTATAGGTATAAAAGTATGACATTTCGAAATTCTTTCGCTACTCTGCTAGGTTAGCTCTCAGTCTATTCCTAGTTAGGTTATAATAAGGAATAACTCTTATAAAAAAAATAATATTAATAATTATAATATAATCTTTTTCCAGATATAAAATTCAACAATGGCAGGGTAAAAAATCAAGAGACGATCGATCTCAAAACTAAAAGTAAATCGTCGATTTATCATAATTTCAATAATATCAGTTATAATATATTAAGTATTTTTATCGTACAATTTGTCTAGCCGTGCGCACCAAATTATTTACGACATAACATATAATTTATTAATGGATGATGATATTATATATTTCTTAGGTATTAGTTATTATTTATTTGTTTTGCAGGCGAAACGTTAGATAGATACGAAAAAAAACTAGAATCTATTGAAAATGGTTCGTTTCCACCCGTCCAGGATGTGGCCGATTTTGAACAAGCTATTGAGCTCACAGGTAAGCATATTGCGCATTTTGACGATATATTTCTTTAGTGAAATGATATTTAACTTGTTCCGCTATTAGGTTATGGGAAATTCCATTATTTATTGTTGGTCGTGTGCGGTTTCGTCAGCACCAGTGAAGAAATGGATGTTATTTGCATGTCGTTTATATTGCCGTCGGCCCAATGCGATCTTAAGTTAAATACGTCGTCCAAAGGATGGTTAAACTCTATTATTTTCATTGGTAAGTTTTACCGTAGTTTGTAATAATTATAATTATCAGGGTTCGAACATTTAAAATCAACAAAAAAGCGCTTTAAAAATGTTATTATAAGCCCTTAAATAGATACCCTTAATTGCCACTTAAGTGTTAAAGTAAAATGGCAGACGTTTTAAGTGAATAAGATAACAAAAACGAATAATACACGTTAAATAGACCAAACAAAATTATTTAAAAATAATAATTAACAAAAATCTTATGACTTACGTAATCACAATGTAACAAATATTCCAAAAAACCAGAAAACAATTTTTTTAAGAAGCGTTAATTACCAATTATAAGCAAAAACAGGGAATTTCAAATTTCATATTTGAACTGGACATATATTTCCATAGCACTTTGCCAGGTTGAATGTTTAGCTAAAAAATATACAAATACTATAGGTAAGTCCTGAACCCTGATTATTACAATATTACGATTTAAATACATAATATTAAACTATGTAATGTTTACTTATATTATCGACAATATACATTATTGCAGGCATGATGGCCGGTGCGTACATATGGGGTTCTCTGGCTGATGCGTTGGGTCGTCGTAAAGTATTAATCGTCATAAGTTTTATGAACGCTATATGCATCGTTGCATCTACCTTTGCCCAGTCTTATGGCATATTCATGTTATTTCGATTTTTAAATGGAGCAGCGTATGTTGTGACTCGAATGTGTTAATGATGATCGTAATATGAAGTTTACTGACCTATATATTATTGTATACATTATTTAGATTGGGTGGCAGTGGTCCGGTTATATGGTCGTACTTTGCAGAGTTCCAGCCTAAAAACAAACGTGGTTCGATGCTTAGTTCGATGGCTGCATTTTGGACTCTGGGAAATTTGTTTGTAGCTTGTATGTTATTAGAATAATTTTATTATAGTGAGTACTTAATTATTTTGAATATTGTCATAGCGCTAGCGTGGATCATCATACCCCAAAACATTGGCTACAGGTCCCCGGCGTTTTTATACAATTCTTGGAGAATATTTTTGGCTATTTGTTCCATTCCTAGTGTACTTGTTGCCATATTCCTGTTTTTTTTACCAGAAAGTCCAAAATTTCTTTTGATCCGTAATGATCACCAAAAAGCTCTGGAAGTATTCAAACAAATTTATGCTATCAACACAGGCAATGATCCAGAAATGTATCCGGTAAGTTAATTTATTGTATTGTGTAAAGAAATAAAATAAATAATTCAATCAATATAATTTGTAATCACTAACTACTAATTGATTTGATACCTACTTAATATAACCTCTTATAAATACATAATTGATAAATATATTACCTATTTAAACTGTGGACAAATCAGACAAATTATCTTTTTACATTATCATATATGAAATTTTATTGAACAATAATTTCCTATTAAGAAAATTGTATATTTTTAATGGATCTAACATAATATTGTTATATAAATTCCATTTTAAAATCATGAACACTTATTTATTTTGTTGTATTAATTTATATTGTAAAATTAAAATTACAGGTAAAATCATTAGTAACAAAGTCAAATGCTATTGAACATGATAATTTGAATACTAGGTCTCTTAGAAGTATGTGTGATGAAGTACTTCTAAATACAAAGAAAATATTCATGCCGCCTATCTTAAAGTATACGTGGATATCCATTGTGATAAATCTTAGTTTCCATATTGGGTATGTGTATATTTGTGTTCGTAGTTGTAATTTATGAATACCGATTGTATTTAGTTTTTTTTTTCCCAGTTATTATGGTCTTATGATGTGGTTCCCAGAGCTTTTCAATAGATTTGATGAATATGCTCGAGCTCATAATGGAAGTGAACAAGCACTCGTGTGCGAAGTATGTGTACAGCCAAGATGACTTACTAATAAACATTATTAAATGATAATGTTTCTTTATTTTTTTGTTGTTTTGAATAGGTGACTGAATTTGTTGTAAAAACTGGTTCACACTCACACGTAGATTTGTGTTCGGACAAAATTGAAAGCGGTGTTTTCCTTGAATCATTTATTACAGTGGCGGCTGCTATTCCGAGCAATATATTTGCAGTATTAGGAATGGACACATTAGGCAGGAAATTCTTTTTAGGTACCTAATTGTTATTATCATTACTATCATGGAAATACCTTTTCATTTTAATGTATTTACTATATCTTATACAATTTTTGTTTTTTTTTTTTTTTTTTATAGTGTTCAGTACAATGACATCTGGAATATGTGCTGTTGGTTTATCACTTATTAACAGCAAAAGACAAAATTTAGTAGTATCCGCTATATTTAGCAGTGCTATTAGTTGCGGTAATGCGGCTCTGGATTGTTTAATTACAGAAATTTTTCCTACAAATTTAAGGTAATCTAGTTTTAATACAAGTATATATATTTTTTAATAAGTTTAAACTTTAATGTTATTAATTTTATAATAAATAGAGCTACTGGAATGGCCATATCCATGGTAGCCGCCAGGCTTGGAGGTATTATTGGAAATATTGTTATCGCTGCTCTGCTAGATCTCTATTGTCCATTACCAACTTACATAGTAGCTGTGCTTCTTATAGGTATAGCACAAATAATTTTGCCATCATAACATTCAATATTCTCAGATAATTTTTTTGCTAAAAACATCTTATTATGTTTTAGGCGGTGGACTTTTGTGTCTTATGTTGCCTAACACCACAAGAGAGCCATTAACGTGACCTGTTTATGAAAAAAAAAAAAAGGTTAGACAAATATTTTAAGATAGTAATTTCATTTTAATTTATTAAAGACATTTTCTTAGTTTTAACACCTTCATATAAACATATTATTATATTGCACATATTTTATTATATGATATATATAAATCATTTTTATTTAATATAATTTGCATTAATTTGTTGTTTACTGTATATTTATAATACATGTGCGTAAGTATACAAACATTTGTATAGATATGTTATCGATAACATTTCTAATATAGATATATTATTATTTTATTTTATTATTTTTTTTTTTTATTATTTATTGTGATTTTCTTGTGAATATATCTGTTTACCTTAATTAATTAAATGCAGGTATTTTTAATTAAGATACTTTAAAATTATAGTGTTAAAACTATAATATATAAAGTAAATGCTATTCTTAACTTTTTTTATGTTTGTTTAGTCATATTTAAAAGTTGTACATAATACCAAATATAAGTATAAACAGTTATTTATCTTTTTCAATTTTATTTTTGTATACATATATAATATATATATATATAAATTCCAATGTATAGTAGAATTGTTTGATAACCCTGAACTTAATAATTCTTAATTATCATTAACTCATTGAAAAATAACTCTTTACAATTTTCTATATAGGTACCTGCTCAAATTGTTATTATGTCCTTAGATTTTAGATTATCAATATTTTCCTATTTCATAAGCTTTAAAGTTTTTTTTTTTTTTTGTTTCAGTATATACATTTTTATACTTATAAATTACAATTTAAAAGTTATAAATACATTTTGGAAAACAGATGTTATAAATAATATAGTTATTGTTTAAATTGTAAAATATTATAGTTTAACAGTAATATTAATAATATTAAAAAATATTAAAATGAAAAAAAAAAAAAAAAATGTAAAATGTGAAAGAAAAAGTATTGGACCAAATTTAGAATAGTTTTTCAATTTAACTATTTTTATTAATTTACCTATTTGGTATTTCTCAATTGTGTTATATAATACGTACTGGTATGTCGCTGAATATATTGTGTGTTGCAAGATAATATGTAAAATTGTGAATTTGTGAACAATTCCTAATAATATATATAATATATTATGTGTGTATTTATTTTCTTTACCTTTATGCCATAATACAGCAAAATGGAATAGGTGTGCCATATTACAAAGGTCAGAAAACACTAATAATTTTTTTTTGTGGATTTTACATAAGGACAAAAACCATATTATTTTAATAATAGGTAATACAGACAATCCAGTAAATGGTAAAAGAAAAAAAATATATAATGATAAATTCAATTGAATATTCTCATTAGTTGATGTGTTGTTAAGATTTATGTTTTAAATTTAAAATTTGTGGCTAACAATGTTTTTAATTTTATAGTTAGATTTGTATATACAGAACTACTTATAGATTAATTTAACTATTAAATTACCAATAGGACCTTAATAGCATGTATTATATTGCATAAAATTACAAATAATTAATATTGAATTATATGTGGATATAAATCCATATAATATAATAATTTGTATTAACTTGTATGCTAATATCTAGACCTGTTAAAGTACAGGAACACTTCACTAAAATTAACATTTTTAAAGGGATAAACATTGAGGTAATGTATTTATGTTTTTTTAAATTAATAAGTACAATAATAGATTCCTATTTGTAAATCATAGTTATTATATGCAGTTTATTAATTTACATAGGAGCTGGTCGAATTTTAGGAACTATATATATATATATAAAAATAAAAATTGTGAGTGTCTATTACTTAAAAATCTTCAGTAAAAATTGTATACCAAAAGTACACCCTTGAGAAATAAACTATAAAAAACAAAAAAAAGAAACGAAAAGAAATCTATAAATGCATATGGAGGTAGATATAATAAGTTGACAATTAATGTTCCTTGTCAAACTTGGCAAACGTCATGTTGTTTATTTCTTCGTGGGATTGAAAATATAACCATAACAATGTTTCGCTAAAATTTTTTATCGATTTTTGACAATTTATTATAATTTATTATTTATATTTATAATATTGATAGTCGTGTACTAATATATTTAGTAAAGCACTAGTATTATTATTTTTTTAGCAACAATTGTCAAATATACATAATCAGTGATGTGACAAACTTAACATTTATATGAATCAGTCATTTAGGCTTTAATTCCATCAATTTCCAATTAGCTCTTCAATAATTTGTAAAATGTTTACATTCTACTGGCTCTAAAAAATGGCCTCTCACAGTCTCATCATAAATTGTTTTGGATTTGGTCTCTTCAAACTGTGTGTGTGGTTAAGTGGAATAACCAAGATATATCAATGGAAGATGTATAAAGGTCTCCAATAACCTTTTTAACTTTACTTATAGCTAGTATGGTGTAAACCTTAAGCACTGAACAATGATAGGGAATACATATTATTTATTACGTACTATTGTTAAATATTAAAATCAAAAATCTATAGGATTACAATTTATAATAATTTTTGTAAAAAATATAAATTATTTACCCGCTTATCTAATTTTCCAAAATATCTAAGACAATTGTCTCATAAATAATTATTCGTCACATCACTGTACTTATTGGAGTATATTTAATTTTACGTGTTTTTAGAACGTATCAACTATGCTAGATATAGCGCCACTCAAGTATAATACAAAATTGATACCTCAGATATTATAAAACTTTCGGTTAAATGAAAAAAAAATCTAAAAGTTTCTAAACTTAATATTTTTTCGTGTTATGCTTTGTGGAGAAAACATCACTCATTTTGCTGCCTACGGGTCGGACGAACAAAAAGTTTTTTTTTCCTTTTTTGTTAATATAATGTCTCCTGAAATATTGATTATCGTATACCTACCCATAACATTTCCTATACATCATACAGCCTTCAGGGTTTGGTAACCAATCAAAAATCACTGCCGTTTTTTTTTTTCTTAGATAAAATGGAATAGTTTTAGAACGGTTAAGTAAAAAACGATAGGTAATATTTTTAGGTTTTATGTATTCAAATAGTATAATGTATTTTTTCGATCAGACAATAATATAAAAATCGATTACCGGATAAATAAAATAAGAAACATTTTTTATGTTTTAATTAATTTTTCACTTTTTGTTTTGACGACGATGTGATGACCTATGCAATTGAGCAAGGTAGATGTAGAATAATGTATTGTTCATTTGTACATGATTTGAAAAACCGTAAGGGTCCCCGGCAGTATAATGGGATTATTTGGGGTAGGGTTAAGAGCGCGTATTTGGTGGTGCAGGGTCAAAGGTCATATGCCCCTCGTTATCGACACTACCTACTGTTTAGTTTTCAATGAATTGTTGAACAGATAAACAACACAGCTTTGCATTTGAAGCTCATCATCAAATAAATGACGAGATTTCAACGGGAGGCCATAATTTTCTGGAATGTAATTATCTGGATTAACAAAAACCAGGAATTTAAAAATCCGGAATTAAATTGAAACCAATAGTTTCTAAATATTTCGATCGAGAACGTCGTTTCACATGTTAAACCACCTGCCTAGTTTGTGACCCATTTTCTGCATAGATAGAAAACCCAGACCCTCCCCGATTATTTCACCCACTTTTCTGAGTATTTAATCGTCATTTTTTCCTGTTTCGAGTTTAAGAAAACTTTATCTCTTTGCAAAATGTCTATACATTATCTATGGCAAAATTACTTTTGACTTTTTCGTCATAACAACATTAATATTATCGTTGACTGGATGGCAAAATAGATGATTAGATTGGAAGCCATACATTTTTGGAGTATAATTATCCGTAAAAATATTTTAGAAACCATTGATATTTTTCTGGATTTCTCACGTTCCGGATTATTGCTTTCAGGAAGTTACAGTCCGCATTCTTGTTCCGGATTTGTATAGCCCTTCATTTCAACCTTTTTGACTCTTTTTTTTTACTGTTTGTCTAACACAACTTTGAAAACTTTTTAAAATTTAAATCTTTTTCGCACTCTTGCCTTTTTTTTTTTTAGTAGTCAATCGAATTTCAACCTCATAGTAAACTGGAAACTGAAAACTTTGTAAGTTATTTTAGACAGGCAGTGCAAAAAAGTTCAAAAATTAGAAATCTTGTAATTTTGATAACAACGTTCAATTGCGAAGCTGTGTTGTTCATCCGTCCCATAATTCATTGCAATCTTAAAGGTAGATCGTGCTGATAAAGGGCATATGACCTTCGTTCCCACCACCACCATACACCTTCTTAGCCCCACCTAAAATCATCCCGTTTCACTGCCAGACCCTGTTATTCATGATTTTGATCTTAATAAAAAAAAAATGTACTACATTACACTCTACCTTTTTTTTTTTTAACCACTGAATACAACTAATTTTGAATGCCCTATTAAATTTTGGTCGATCGAACAATTATTATTCACATAGTATCTATCAAATAAAAATTACATGAAAACTCGCAAGGTTATTTAAATATATATAAATACCTCAAAAGTCGTTAAATTTTTTTGAAAATTTAACCTCGTTTAGAAAAGGTAAATATACGATTTTTGTAAAAATGCTCAGTTCACGAATATTTTTAACTGAGTTACAATAACAAAAAAAATTGAAAAAATAAAACCATTATTTCCGTAAACTTTGCTGTCCATTCTATCTTTTTTTTCCGATTTGGCTCATTTGTTATAAAAATGGCTTGTAAAATCTAAAAATGATTTATTTACTGACAACTGGTTTGAAAATGCAAAAAAAATTGTCATCGTTTTTCTATTGAAGGAATATTTTTGGTAGCATACAAATTAAAAACAATGAAATCAATAACGCTGCGGTACTCCGTAAATATCTGAACTCTGCCCTATAATTTAGTTTCTGGTTGTTCATAATTATTTTGGAAAATAAAAAAATGATCTCTTAAATATACCAATTAAATCCAAAATGTCTCATATTTCATTAATTTTTTTTACAACTGTCATTTTCAGTCATATTCCGACATAAAATGAAAGAATTCGCATTTCCTCATGAATGTATTCCTCTAAAAAGGAATTACATTAAAAGAATTAATTCTTTCTTAACACTACAAAATATAAAATCGATACAGTTTACGAGCAGAAAGTATATCACTATATTTTATTTGGCGAGTCTGCGCTCAACTGCAGATTGTAAATCAATTTGTTAAATAAACGTTTACTTTCCGACGGGAGGCGTTTTTTTTTTACCACAAAACTTAAAGTTTAACATTTATTACGTCGGCAAGACGCCCACACGACAAAATTGTCGAAGAATACAAATTAAAATGTCTATAAATAGCTCAACAATTGTTAAATTTGTTAAAAATTTTACCACATCTAGAAAAGGCTAATATAAGATTTTTGTCAAAATCTCAAGTCTATGAATATTTTAAACTGAACTATAACAAAAAAACAAAACAAAATTGAAAATAATGAAACCATTATTTCTATAATTTATATTCTATCTTTTTTCCCTGTTTTAATAATTTATTATAATAACTGCTTGGTAAATCTAAAAACTATTCACTTATTCACTAACATTTAACTATTTTTTTTTTTTTTATGTGAACACTTTTTCTACCAGAAGACTTGCTCGGATATCTACACGTGTAGCACCTTTTCTAAAAGGAAAAAATCGGCGTAGGGAGATACTTTAAGTAGGTCATTTTTCGATTTTCTCTGAAGTTTTTCCAGCAAATATGATAAACTGGGAAAAAAGGAGGAAAATTGAGAAAATCGGTACAACATTAAACAAATTTTACTAAGGAAAATATATAATTAGCCTATTTAATTACATATATATTGTTGACAAAGAATCACTGTCAACTAAACTCTGCTCAGAATCTCTTTTTTCATAGGCAATGGTTTATCGTTTCTTATAAATACACATTAAATTACTGTCTATAAACTACCTTCTCAACTTCCCCTTACATCAGTGGCTGCACCCGTTTCTATTATCTTTTTTTTTTATCTAGATCAATGTCTAGTGCAAAATCCAAACTTTATATTTAATTTTTATTATGAATTATACATAATGTACATTATATTTATATATTATACATTTTACA